TGGGAAATACTAGAAAAAACATGCTGTAAATGTAAAGCAATTTGATAATATATGCAATCGGCTGTTTAATTTGATTGAAAAACATATTAAATTTACTGTGTAAGCATTCTGAGAATTAAAATTATACCTGAGTGTAATTGGTATTATGAGGCATTTTGTAAAAAAAAATGCAAGGGGTTTTGAAATATGGTCAAAATAATAAGTAACTTCCTTTACTTGATGTTTAATTTTTGTCTCAGAGGAATTAACAAGAAAACATTTTTACCAATTTCTTTTTCTTTTTGGGGGTGAATTTGAAATTTCAAAAAGAATTTAAAAAATACTAAATTATTATCCATCCATTTTCTGTACACCCTTGTCCCTAGTGGGGTCAGGAGGTGCTGGTGCCTATCTCCAGCGAACGTTTTGGGCAAGAGGCGGGGTCACCCTGGACAGATTGCCAGTCTGTCGTAGGATTTTATATTATATAATATTATATTATAATAAAGTTATTATAATATAATAATATGATACAAATACTATTATTATTAATAATAATAATAAAAATGTTGTCATGCAAAAAATTTTTTGCCACTTTTTGGATCAGGAAGTGTCCAAAGTTTTGAATGTGTTTATCCTGTTGTATCTATTCAGTACATCTGAAAACATTAAGGGGATTAACATTTATTACGCAGAATGCACCCAATTTATTACTGAATTGTTGGCAAAATGATCTTTGGCAAAAGATCATTTGACTGGATGGATTCCGTATAGAAACAGAATTTTTCTGGTTCTATACAGAAACAGAAACAGGAGTTTTGTAAAACAGGGTTGCTGTGTTTTTTTGTGTTTTCTTTTCTTTTTTACATCTTTTATGTATTTTTCAAACATTGGAAGGCTGCATGTTTATGATAGCACATAGTGGACACTCCATGTTGTTTATTCTTGGATATAATTATTTAAACACATCAATATGAATAAAGCAGGACTTGTGTAGGTTCACGAATCTCCTCCTGATATCGTCACTGGTCTCTTTGTATTTGTCCATCATGTCACACAAGGAGGTTTCAGTGCATTTAAAAGTACATTTTCAGCTCAGGTGAGTCTCAAATGTTGTGCATAAATGTTATTGTAATTTTTAAAGGCATGGTGTATCTAAGCTTTTAAATTTGAAAAGAATAATAAACAAATCTCTAAACATGATCCATCCATTATCTCTTACCTGATATCCTGCAGGGCCTTGGGGGCCGATGCCTGCAGTCAGTGGCTCAGTAAACAAAATGGCAAAGGAGGTTTAAAAAAATTTTTTTTTTTGATGAAATAATAAAATGAATGTGTTTGATTAAAATAAACAAATCTTCAAACCTCATTGGTAAAAAAAAAAGCCGTTTCTGTCCTACCATCACAAACACGAACAAGGGAATTTTGCTTTTTTGGGATATAAACTGGATCAGCGTGCTTTAGTTGGATGAGTCTAGAGTTTGATATAAAACATGTAGCATCTGTTAATGCTAGTGGTACTGCCCTGCAAAACCTATCTGTGTATTTGTGGTGCTGCAGTGTGGAACAGAGGTAAAACACAACCAACGTATAGAGACTTCAGTCTTTGATGCAGACATTAGAGTCCCAACCTGATGACCTTTGCCACATGTGTTCACTCCTCCCTTCCTGTCTGATCACCACTAAAGATCTAAAACATTTAGGAAAAAAAATCTGTAAATTTAACTGTGATAAACAGTAAAAGTATGACAAAAAAATAAGTAAACTACCAAAATGTCTAAAACTGATAATTTTATGTGAAGTTGCTGCAAATTAATTAATTGATCAAAACAGTTATTTGTAAATTTTTAATAATAACAATAATTTAAAAAAACTTAACCTTACTGTGAAGCATTGTTTCTGTAGTAGATTAGAAGGGGATTGAGGATTTTTTTTCTAAAGTTTGCAATGGTCAAACACTATGAATTTTACTTCAAAACATCCAGGCACCTGTAAAAGCTTGAAAACATCACAATAAAATTCCAGCAACCTGCTTGATTCTCAAACATTTAACAATTTTCAATCCAACATCATTTTGGGGTTTCAATGAGGAACTTCTGGTGTCACTCGCCGTTCCATGTTATGTGTTAGACGCCTTTTTTCCTCACAAGAAACCTAAACTGAAAAAGCATGTTTCTCTTTATAAAACACGTCATGGCTCCTTCCTTCCTTCCTTTGTTCCGTCATCCCTTCTTCAATCTGCCCTCAGCCTCTCAGCTGGAATAAAAATAACAGACTGTGGAATAATAGCTTAAACTGAAGTATTACTTTAATACCTCAATAGAAATAACCTGGTTTGAACATTTTGAAAGAAGCAGCCTCCGTTGCCCGGGGCTACACTGTAATGTGTGATTGAAAGTCTATGGGCTGTCACTTCAGATTAGAGAACAGCCTCGCTGTGCCTGTGATGGAGAGGCAACAGGGGTAATAGGAGGTGGAAGGAATTACACTTCATAAAAATCACATGTGAGTGGCGATGGGGAAACAAGGAGCGATTTCTTTTCTTTTTTTTTTCACTCTGGCTTGTTTTTCTATCAACTGGTCCTGCGTTAAATTCTTACTATTTTGTGTTTTGGTTTAAGCATATTAGAGCAAATTTCCATTGCTTCTTATTTGGATTTAAAAGCCTCTTTAGTAATGGATCAAGGACGGCACTTCATGTGAATTTACGTTGGAGTGCATTTAAAAATGTTAGCACTTTAAAACATGTTCAATATCCTTTAACTGAATATATGTACCAAAAATTAATAAAATAAATTTATTTTATAGGTTGTTACTTTTAGAGTTACTAACTGAGAGAAACGGTTATAAAACACTGATATTTGTTTGGCATTGAGGCTTTTAGGTAAGAATTAATCTGGTCTGTGCATCAAACACTCAAGCAGTCATATTTCAAAATCTTGAACTTTTACAAACACATTAATGGTATAAATAAGAAATGTAACTGCATTTAGTGTTGTATGTTTCAGTCCAGGGTTTGTTTCACTTACAGATGTTAAAGTAGAGTTGATTTACCTTATCAAAAATGGCAACAAATGATTTCAGACTCCACATTGATGAACAGGAAACCACCATTAGAATTTTGTTGATTTTGCTTTGTTTTGTTTATACAATGCAGGGACAAAAGAAACTCATCTAGTTGTGGATATTTTCTTCAGTTTTTGAAAAACATTTTTCAAATATCCTCTATATTTGAAAACATAGAAACACAGTTTTGTTTCAGCTCGTATGATGGAGCATTCCTTCATGTGATTTCCAGTCACATGCATATTTTGTAAAAAAAAAATTCTAATTATCTTTCTCAGCTACACATTCCTTCGACTCTGATTATACTTTTGGAATGACCACAGTATTTTTATTTATGTTGTTAATTTTCCCTACTGTCCAATCTCTTATTTCTCATTTATTGTTTTAATGTTATTTGTGTGAATCTACATGACTCCATTTTGTCTGTTACTTTGCTGCTGGTACGCATGAATTTTCCTACTGAGGGACAATAAAGGATATTTCCATTTCCTTCTACAAATCATCCGCCATTACCTTCATAAAGCCAGTAGATGGCAGTGTTTAGTTTTGGCGAAACTTGCAAGCAGCTTGTTCTGTCCTGGCCTAAACTATCCCTTATCCAGGGGTTTCAACCTGCGGGGCTCTTCTTTGCTGCCCATTTATGGAGACAGAAGCTGTGATGAAGACACAGTGTTTCTTCTCTCAGCTGCTGACAATTGTTTTCCCCTCGGGACACTCCTGAGACTGAGGGCAAAACAAACAGTGTTGAACAAACATTCACTTCGACTTTGTCAGTCTGTTTTTGTCTCGCTTTTTTGACCTTCTTTCTTTGTGGTTCTTATTTCTCATGTCATGATCTTTTGCAAATTCCCATGAAGAAAAACAACAATGAAAATATTATTAAAAATGATGGAATTTTCGGAGGGACCAGGAAATGTTTAATTTTTATGTAACGGTCTGGGCTTTCCTGTCGGATAAAAAAGAAATTCAAAAACAACTTGTTCCACCAATGCTGGAGCAATACAAATACAGCTCAAGAAATTAGAATGCCATAAAAATAAAAAAAAAGTTTAGAATTTTTGTCATTTGTGTCACACATATATAAAACATACAAAACCATGATGGCTTATAATAAAAACCCAGAAATTAAATCTTTCAGAAAATGTAAATATTACACAAGATCAAAAGTACATAATAAAAAGTATAGAATAATTGGGGCTTTAATTGACACATTTATCTAATTCATTTTCTATTTCAACTTGATGGAGTGATACGACTATTGTCAAGCTGCAGCATTAGTAAAAACTAATTTATGTTAATAATTTGGTCTTAAAAAATTTAACTTATAACTCAACACACTGTCATTTATTTAAAACATTTAGCTAATTGTCACTTATGGATAATAAAAACCCAACATTCAGTTTCTCAGAATATCTGAATATTGTAATATCAATGAAAAAGTTATTTTTGTTTGTTTGTTTTTAATAAGAAAGATGGTCAAATGTAAAATTAGTAGTGTAATTTATGCATTTGATTCTCATGACCCCTTTTGGATGAACTTATATCAGTGTAGAGGTGAAGGGGTCAGTCTGTGGTTCTGAAGGGGTCAGTCTGTGGTTCTGAAGTCCAGTAATGGCAGTCGCTCTTGTTGGCTCCGGTGTCTCACTCTCCTTCCTTGCAGAAAACAGCGAGGCTGACCTTGGCCTTGACAAAACCAGTCAGCTTCTATGAGTCTTTTCATACGAATGATATGTTATATTTATAGCTCGTTTACACTTCCTACTGCGTGGCAGATACTGTTCATTGTTGATAAAGTGTGAGAAGAGAAGAAGAAGAAGACGGTTCTCTATCGAACTCTATTGTTTCAGACAGCGTCGCGGTTTACGAGCGGCACCTGAAGACGGCGTTGGTCACCTGACCCTAACTCAAAGTCACGTGACTGATATTCCATCCTCGCCATTTTGCAATGTGGTGGAGACAGAGAGGCCACTTTTTATAGCTAACGAATAAAAACTCCCGAGTTTTATGCGTTAAGGACAAAGAGCATCGCGCGTCATTTTGTTGGTGAGTGCGTTTCCGTTCATGCGTCTCCACGTGCTCTCCGTCACTAGTTAGCCGAAAAGAGAATACATATGCCCTTGTTGTATATTCATGTGTGGAACTATTAGCACTGTGTGTGTGTGTGTGTTTAAATAGCATACAGTAAGCTGTGAAGCTAACACTGTCTGCACTTTTGTTGGCTATTTATTGAAAGAACACAAGAAAACTGACTTGCCTGAGTCGGTTTAGCTTGTTAGCTAATATGGGTCTGTGTGAGTTTGGAGATTGTGCTCAACTTCATTTCACAGGGTAGAGGAGAAAATATTTTTAGACCCTGACATAACAGGTGCCCCTCTCACACGGGTCAAAGGACATGGTGATGGAGACTGAGCTCAACTTTATCAGGATCATAAACAATCGCTACTAAACTGACTTTAAAGCTTTTATGTGGAGTTGCTGTTTCCACTGTGGCTTCACTAAACTCTCACTCACTATCTTTTTATGAAACACTTCCCAAAACTGTCCCACGTTGTGAGCGGCTGGTATAGTAGCAGAAGTGGGAGAAAGAGGAAGAGAGAGCTGCGGTCGGAAGATGGGAAGTGAGGATTTGGAGAGATGAAAGGAATTTGATCCGCTTTAGTGGTGATCATTTCCTCAGAGTTCAGTTTGTAAACAGAAGCACATGGCTAAGTGCGGAGGCCTTATCGTGAATTGATTAAGCTGAGCCTTGCTTATCGAAGGAATCGTTTGCAAACTCACTCTTGCATTAGACAGATCGGGTGTTATCTGTACACCACGTTATATTTATAGAGAAACATCTGGAGATGCTGTTTGTTTCTCTGTTAAAGCAGTATGTAAGATGTTAAGATGCCTTTCAATTAATAGGTAAATGTGTTTAATTCGGGATGTTTTCAAGTGTTTATTTAGGTTCATTTAAAGATAACTGTTAACAGCTGACAAATTAGAAGATCACTGACACGAATGGAAAAAAAAACAACAGAGATGATTTTCGTAGCCATGTAGTTGGCAACTTATTGACATACCCAATTTCAGTTTAGCCTCCAGAGAGTCACTGTGGATAGTTACGCTGCTAAAGACAATATCTTGTTGTCACAGTCTGAAGTTGTCAGGAATCACAACTGTCCAAAGGTGAGGAGGGAGTAAGAGCATAAATCCTTCCAGTTGCAGGGCAACTAAAATAGCTAAAATAAGAAGGAATAATCAACCAAACACTCTGTGCCTTGACCAAAAATAGTATGAACAAAGTTAATATAAAGACAGAGCATGGTGACAGAGCTGCCACCATGAGTAACACAGTTCTACAGTAATAAGTTAGAATATACTGTTAAAGGTTATTTATTTAACTTATCTAACTGAATAGTGAATATTTATGTTCTTAGTTGTTTCATATTAATTGTAATACAAACATATTGTGGCCTACATGACCATAGGAAGACTGCCAACCTGGCAGTAATCCAGGAGGAGTGCAAGCAGTACAGACAAGTGCAGCTCCAAGAAGCTTATTAAGCAACAAATTTACTGGTGACCTGAAATATTAGTAATTAAAATGAACATAAATGCTAGAAATGTATCACTCTGACTGTAAGCAATGATTTAGAGTTCAATTATACATCTATTTAACTTCATTCCTGAAGTGAAATTTGAACTATGTTCTAGTTTTTTTGGATGTAGCGGTTTACTACTAAATACTTCATTTTTATCGTTTTTTTTTTTTTATTCATTTGTGGTTCATTCTTTATAGAAAATCCACTTCTTCTAATTTATCTGTAAATGTATTAATGATATATAAAATCCTTATAGTTTGGTCCAAGAAGCCTAAAGCTAAAATCTTAAATTGACCATGCTGGGCATGAGATTACTAGTTTTTATTTTTTTACCATACCACACAGTTAATAAAAAATAACACAAGTGTGAGTTGATCTTTTAAAAACCAAAACTGATGATTATGTATACATCTGCAAAAACAAATAATTATTGTAGTTTATAATTTTTCTTTGTAAAATGATAAATTTGGGACATACTAACCCTAGTGATTATTGTGCAAAAGTACAAACAAAACATACGTCAGGCATGTCAACATAAATTAATTTAAGAACAAATTCTACATCATTGTGTGAGTACCATATGCAGTAACCACAGAGACTGAACTGCTATGTTTTTCTCTGTCTTCTAGGTGATGGATGGGAATTGCAGCGTTGCTGTCATCATCTCAAAGTCCTCCCCTACGTCTGATGCTTCTTCCCCTGCTCCAGTACCTGGATCTCCCTTTGAACCCCAGCCTCACAGGGTCATAGCTCAGGGTGTCCCAGGGAGTGTCCAACCAAAGCAGGTGGATGAGTCCCTCATCAAGGTCATCGAGAAACTCAGCAAGATAGTGGAGCAGCATCCGCAGAGGCATTGCCCTTCGGGGGGGCAGAAAAGAGGGAAACATCTGGACTCCTCCGAGGTGAGGTTGAATCCTGGAAGCTCTCCTAACAAGAGGATGAAGAACAGCTGCGACGACGAGGCAAAAGCAGATGGTAGTGAAACAGACGGCAGTTCTTTTTCTCTTGCTCTGGGCGACAGTAACAACATCACTCCTGCACCGAGCGAAGTTGCTGGCGGTTCAGGCCACATCGACCTCAAACGGACAGTAACGTGCTACCAGTGCAGCCTTTGTCCCTACCTCTCCCAGACGCTGGCCCAGCTCAGAGAGCACCTGAAGCAGCACAATGAGCAGCACAGCGACCTCATCCTCATGTGCTCTGAGTGTCACTTCACGTCCAGAGACCAGGAGCAGTTGGAGGCACACGTCAAACTGCACTTCGACGACCGGGGTGGCACGATGAGAACCTCCACGGAAGAGGAAGGAGTTCTGAAACAGGGTGGGGAAGGGGAGCGGGACAGTGAGGCGAGAAAAGGTTCACCAGATAAGTCAAGTGACCCACCAAAGAAAAAGTGGTATAGTTACGAGGAGTATGGTTTGTACCGTTGCTTGATCTGCAGCTACGTGTGCAGCCAGCAGCGAATGCTCAAGACCCATGCCTGGAAGCACGCCGGCCTTGTCGACTGTTCCTACCCCATCTTCGAGGAAGAGGAAGGTGGTCCAGCAAGGCAAGAGACTCAAGCAGCTACCAATAACATCATACCCCCAGAGGATCTAGTGATCCTGTCTCCAGGTCTTCATGATCAAAATTTACAGAAGCTGCCTGCTGCCATTAAGTTGCAACTCTGCGTGCCTGTCAGTACCGAGAACCAGCAGGATCATTGCAATCCACCAGTCTTGCATTCCAGTGAAGGTTCTGAAACGGCTCCAGATGAAGTCGAGGAGAAGGGGTACACCAACAAAGATGTCAGCTCCGAGGAGCCTGTGGTGGAGGTGCAGGTGACTACGGAAGGAGATGGCGACATGGAGGTGGACGGGACCCAAGAGAGCAGCTCCATTCCTGACAGTCTGCTGTCGTCAGCCCAGAAGATCATTAACAGCAGTCCGAACAGCGCCGGACACATAAACGTGATCGTAGAGCGCCTTCCGTCAGCCGAAGACACCGTCATGGTCACAAAGCCTCTTCTCCTCAACCCAGATATTGATAGGGACCAGGGTTTGCTGGCTGTGAAAGAGGAGGAGGAGCAGAACCCTGTAGGAAGTGGTGGCTGTGTGGATAACTCCACCAACAATCCTTCAGTAGATGGTGACTGTAAGTCTCCCCTCCCTAAAGGTGACTCCTCCCTAAGGGATGAAAACATCCCCCCAACTAGCCGCAAGCGAACGCATTCCGAGTCGCTCCGCCTCCACTCTCTGGCTGCAGAGGCTCTTGTTGCTATGCCGATGAGGATGCCAGAGCTGCCCACCTCCAGTCCTAAGGTGACCCTGAAAAGCGCTTTACCCCAGTTTCAGAATCAAAGGATTTCGGATGGAACTCAGAGTAGACAGAGGGCGTCAGACGTAGAGAACACTGCAGCCCTGTTGGACCTGGAGCTTTGCCAGGCCAAACAGGAGGAATTAGGACCCCTGGGCCTTGGAGAGGGTGATGAGGAAGGTCCCACCACTAAAGCCGGAATCAGCCTTTCACTTCTTACCGTCATCGAAAGACTCAGAGAGCGCTCAGACCAGAACACCTCAGATGAAGATATCTTGAAAGAGCTTCAGGATAACGCACAGTTCCAGAATGGGGCTGTTGCCGCAGCAATCACTGGCAACAGAACCGAGAGTTACGTGTGTAACATTCCAGGCATTGATGGGTTGGTCGGCCCAGCCGATGGCGGGCTGGTGGATTACAACCCGGGCAGTGAGCGGCCGTACCGGTGCCGGCTGTGTCACTACAGCAGCGGCAACAAGGGCTACATTAAGCAGCACCTGCGTGTTCACAGACAGAGGGCGCCATACCAGTGTCCCATCTGTGAGCACAAAGCCTCAGACAGTAAGGACCTGGAAAACCACATGATCTACCACTGCAAGAGCAGAATGCACCAGTGCAAATACTGTCCGGATGCCTTCCACTACAAGGTGAGAAGAACTTCCTGCTTCTGTTTCAGAAGCTCACTGACAGCTGTTCACTGACCCTGCTCAGAAACCAGATTTAGACATGTCCAGCTGATGGGCTTGCAATAAAACTTACTTTTTTAAATAATTAAAATCAGTTACAGCAGATTTTCATACTTCCAGTGTGCCTCCTTTCTATCTTCATGTGCAGGCACTACATACATTTAATATTATCGGATGCTGTGATTTTTTTTATTTGGGTTGTCTTTCAGTGAAACAGTTGCACTGGATTTAGAAAGTCTTCACATCCCTGTTGACATGTCAAGTTTTAATGACATCAAAAATGAGACGAGATAAATATTTTCAAAACTTTTTTTCACCTGTATGTGACAGCATAAAAAACAAGAGCGAATTGACTAATAGTTAGAGCTGAGCATGCTTTCCTAGTAAGTCAGCAGTTACAGCTGGAAAAATAACATTCCCAAAGCATGATGCCACCACCATTCTTCACTGTTTTTTTTTTTTAAACAAAAATGTGTTTATTGCTACATTTAGGCTGACTCAAATGTTTTTCTTTGTAAGAAAAAGTTTCCTCCAGCCACATAACTCAGACATCTAAAGATTTTGGGTAATTTCTGCTACATGTCCTACACAGACAGACATTCCTGCATCTCCTCTAGTGTTGCTGTAGGTGACTTTGCAACCTTTTGGTTTTCTTATCTTTTTGTCAGTTTTGGAAGGATGTTCTCACTCTTGTTGCTGTTGCACCATATTTTTTCTGATAAGGACTGGCTTTACTTTGTTCAATGAAGTCTGAAGTCTGAAGTCTTAGTTCATTTGTAATCTTCTCCCAATTTGTACCCAGTAATGCGATTCCTCTGATGACCCGGAAGATCTGTGCAGACCCTTGCAGTCACACTTGTGCAATCACGTTACAGTTTCTCAGAGTTTCTTTTCCCTCTTAAAGGCTTCAGGTTATTTTTACAGTTGAGTTGTTAGACATCACATGAAAGGTGGAAATTATTCAGAAATCCCTGGTGTTGTAACAGAATATTCACTGTATCTCAGAGTTGCACATATTATTGTACTGCAAACATGTCACGTTTAGTGCTGCGTTCCTTAAAAGCACAGTAAAACATTCCCAGTTCCAGAGGCACTGATCCAAGTGGCTGATTTTGTAACTCTTATTAGTGAAGCTTTGAGCAGCAAGTGTGAGTTTTAGCAGACTTAAGTTTCTATTTAAGAATTAGATTGTTTTATGGTCATTTATACTGGGACTGAATGTAACATCACACTGAATGTGTGAGAGCAGACGCTGTACAACAGGGCTTTAAATTGAGATAACATGAAAACAAGTGTGCTTAGCATGGATAGCATTAGGAAGTGAAGTCTTTGTGTGTTTTCCTTTAAATAAATGCCACACACATTTACAAATGTAGTATGTTCCTACAGAGGTTGAAGGTATGAAAGGATAAAAACTGATTTAAAATAAATGAATAAAAATACACACCATTTTTTCTCTTGAAACTGTCACTGTTCAAAAGTAGCAGCCTGAATGGACAGCTACTTGCCTACTTAGAAAAAACAGATTTGATTTAAATAGCCTGTTGCTCGGAGGGCACTTGTTGCAGTTTTCTGGCCATTAAAAATCTAATTTCTAAATTGGAAGTGTTTCTTTCAATTTGCCAAGCAATGTGTAAAAGCCTTTCAAGATTTTGCATGCACAATAATTAACACATCACACTGCTTTATTTATTCAATGCAATATTGCAAACTTAGTTTATTGTTAACCATCTAAATTGACATTCGATTATTTTTGGCTTTATTATTTTGGCTCACAAGACAAAAGTCAGGGATGTACAATATATCAGCATCGACATCAATATCGGCTGATTTTTAATAACATGTCCAAATTGATCCAACAAGTAAAACTGGGCCAATATTAATGACTGATGCTTACTTCCATCTTTTTGCCATTTGTGTTTCAGAAGGGAAGAGAGTGGCGGCTTTCACTCTGTGTTGAAAGAGTAGGGAGATATAGAACATATATAAAATAGCAAATATATAAAATGTTGGTTATCAGCAGTAGCAATATCAGAAATCAATAACAGAAATGTTGGATGTTGTTTTCATGTGTGTGAAAGAGCCTCAGAGTTGCTCATAGAGATTTTCAAACAATATAGAGTGTATAAACCTAACCACACACTGACTTCCTTAAGGTAATTTTTTTGACTAAATAAATAAATGGTCTTATTATCATGTGGAACAAAGTGAAATTGTTAAAGCTCTTTGGATTGTTTTAAATAAAGTCCGGATAGCTGTTCAGATACTAGGATTTGGATGAATTTCCACAGTTAGAAGAAAAGCTAATTAGATTAATTCCACAGATTTGGGAACTCAGGCAATAGAAGTTATAATTGTAACTGATGCTTACTGTGACATCTGCACTTCATATTGTAGATGGGATTTAGACCTATTAAACCGATTAGTGTACCAGTAGGTAACTATTTTATTTAACTTATCTGTTGTCATGCCAAGTTTCCTAGTTTCCATGTGAGTGTTTTTTTTCTAACTAGAGTCAGTTAAGAAGTCATGAAAGAGAGCACCACAGCTGCAGCAGCGACACGCCATCACCCACAATGGGGACTGACACAATCACCCCAATGGAAGAATCTGAACGGGGAACAGATGAAGGTAAGAAAGTGAAAAGCTCAGATTTCTAACTCTATCGCTGAATCTTTGAGCATCATTCCTCAGGAGGCTAAAAGTATTGTCTGCTTTTGTCTGTTCCTTCCAGAAGGTGGGGTGCCAAAGATGTACAAATGTGATGTGTGCAACTATACCAGCTCTACATATGTAGGGGTGAGAAACCACAGGCGGATCCATAACTCTGACAAACCGTATCGGTAAGTTCTTCATAAAAAATAATGGCAGAATAGTAGAAAGTAAAGGAGAAATCTATCTACGCTGCTGTGAGGCTAATCTCTTAATGTTAAGAGCAGCTAACTAGAAGGTCAGCTGCACTAAACCTAAAACACTGGTCATATAATTAGTTCCTCTAACGCTAAAGCGTTAGATAAACACTTTATTTAACAGATGCTAATTCTAAAGTGCTAACTTCAGGTCAAATTCTATTTGCGCTTGAAAGACTATGGACATTAAACACCAATGTAATTTTGACGTTATTATTTACGTGTTCTATCATGCCCTTAGATTTTAGGGCTTTTTTTAGATTACAAACAAAAAGTACAATGGCTCAGGAGTAAATTTCTGCTAAAAAAAACTGAAATATTTCTACAAATGCACATATTTACAAAAAAAAAAAGTTATTTGATGTAAAAAAAAAGTGGCAAATATGCAAGGAAAAACAAAACAGTCTTCCACTACAAAAGGTGCAAATTTATAATATTAAACCTAGGACATTATCTGACATTGTGAGGTCAGAAACCTGTAAGTTTCTAGCCAGTTTTAGCAGAAAAGACATTGTGTTTTATTGCTGACATTTCTGTCTTTTTCTATGAAAGTCCAGTTTAAATGTCTGTTAGTTGCAATGCTCCAAGGAACCTTTAGATGGCAGTAAAAGTTTGCTAATCAGGATGAAAGCGTCCCCACTCAGAGCTTTCACTGCGTTTATCACATACACTGTTTGTGATTGGACGTGTTGTGTTGACATAAGCACATATATGTGTTTATGTCACTCTAAAAATGAAAAATCTACTCAGAAAGGTTGTGTGTGCTGTTTCTGTGAGCACACACAAGAACTCAAGCAGTTCTAGATACAAACATTTCAACGAGGAGAAGGAGAGGGCAGCAATCTTGCTACTACCTTGCTGAGGTCACATGTGCAACTTTCTGATTCAAATCAAGTCTTCTGTGTTGGACACATGAAGGTGCTGTGAGGACTGTTTCTCATGCAGAGAATCATCTTTCCCACTGTATGAAAGGGTAAATGGCCAGAGCAAGAAGCTTTTCAGCAAATCCAGGAAATAATAACAAAATAAAACAATGTCCTACCTATAGCTGGGTTTTCCTGCTTTTGGTCTGTGTTTTGTGGAAATTTACCATACTTCTTTTTTAAAAGGTGTGGTCCAAAGTTCCTCTACGTATATGGTATGTATATTTTCTCTTGAGGCTGTGTAATCTGGCAGTTTTGTGGTGTACTACCACTTGCTTGCCAGTAGTTTTAGGCAACATATTGAGAGGGAATGCAAGCACAATGTAGTACTGCAACTAGCCACCTATTAAAAAAAAAATTCTTTATATTTTCTTTCCCACAGAGGAAAGAAAACACACAATTAGCTTGCAAAGCTGCCTCACAGACATGACATTTGCAAAAAGATAAACCTATAAAGTCGGATTTTCTTTATTTCAGCAGTAAAAATTTTTTATCTCATCAATATTTAATTAGAATTTGAGAATATTTTAGGAAAAAGTTGGAATCCTCACTTTTCGTTTTTTACAAACTATTTAAAAATGTCAGCAAAAAATAAATAAAAAAATAGATGTAACTTTTTTATTTGATATCTAAGTCTATTGTGGTCTTACACAGAAAATATCGTCAAAGTCAAATCCCTGGCTGGGAACTTGGAGTTGGATCACATTTGCTTCAGTAGAATGACAGCCACGGTTCTACTCTGTTCTGCAGCTTCAATCAAACCCTCAGATGAAAGGTGCAAGTTACTCCAATTCACTCCAAAATTGTCAGACAAAATGTGTAAAGACTGCAGTACATTCTTTACACACTACATGTAAATGCACTACATGTGGTGCGAACATGTTGCTTGTGATGCATCATGTCTGCCGTCTCCCTTGCTGAGAAATCTCTGCAACTGTTGGAACAACTACTTTAATTAAGGAGTGACAATTAATTGAGCTTGAAGAGCCAATAGAGTGATCTGATTATATTTGTGCCGTAATACTGAACAATTTCCCCCTCTGGATCAGTGTAACGGACAGACTGTGGAGATATCCTCTATTATCTTGTTTTTATGCTATTAAAATTAATCACCACCAATGACATAAATGCAGGCATTTACTGTTGAGAGGTTAGGAGGGAGATGTTCCTTTTATTTCATCAAAATGTTATTTGCATTTAAGCTCTAGCTCTGGTTTTCTTCAAACTGAAGGTTGGTTTTCCTCACTGCCTGCTCTTTAGGCTGAACTTACTGTAGTTACTGTAGTGTGAAATCCAGTGGGTGCCTAGCCTTGGCATGCTAGCTGTTAGCCTCTCCAGTGCTAACATAATTTTTCTTCTCATTTGTCAGAATCTGTCTGACAATGGCCTATAATAACTCTGATCTGAACATAGGAGTGGTATATTTGTTTTGGCCCTAATACTGCTACAATATAATATCATTATAATTTAATATATCACAATATAATTGCTATAATATTTTAGTGGGAAAATATTACTGACAAAAATATTTGGGTGGCATGAAAACCTTTGAAAAGTTCTGTTTTATTAAACATCCAATCAAGTTTTCATCAATCTGGTGCTGTTTACAAGAATCTACTCTCTGGACATTCACACCAGCCCTGCTTAGTCCACTTTAATTACACTCTAGTTTGTTTCTCTAGAAAGTCCAGTTGGTTTGAGGAAGTGTGAATGTGTATTCAAACTCTGCGTTGGAGCAAAAAAAAACCCAAAAAAACTCTGGTCCACCAAAAAACTAGGTCTCAGCTCAGTTTAAGTGAACTTAGACGATAGACTGCTCCAAAAACAGGAAGTGGACTGTAGCATTCTGGGTAAATACAATCAAACATGCCAATTTAGCACCAGCATAAGAACTGACTCGTCGTTTGCCAAAGACAAAAAAGAAACCATCCAACTGCTAAAATCTCACGCCGCTCCAGTTTTGTTTACATTTCGTAAAGAAGAGAGTTGTGTTCAGTGTCGTCTTCAGAGGTCGGCATGCTGTTTCTTCATTTACACAAAGCAGTGTGAAAGTCAACCTCACGAGCTAAAAATGTTACAAATGTTGCAACTTTAATCCCCAATTGATCTGTGTTTACTGGAATATTTTCAATTTTGATTTTGATATGATTTGTTGAAAACAAAACTGTAAATAGCCCTTTTAGTTTTTGCTCCAATCAAAAGCAGATGCTAACATCACCATAGTTTGCAGCTTACGGTCATGAGCTCATTCTCAGTGCCTGTTAATCGTTCCCATGTTGAGTCCAGAAAGGCTGCAGCACATTTTCACAGTGTTGGATGACTTCTTCATAATTTTTGAACAGAGCGTTTATCAGCCACTTCCACTGCAAATCTTTCAGAATATTTTTTTTTTGTCTTATCGTTGACATGTTCATGTTCTCTATGTAAGAGTGTTGGAGGATCTTAGCAGGTAAACGAAGAGTGTGATATTTATTATTTATCTATAGCTGTGTAGAGGTCAAAAGGGTTCAGCTGTGTATAATGAAGTCCAGTAGTCATTTTGAAATAGAACAAAACTTTTGCAGTTGCTACCTTTCTGTACTCCACACTTCTATGAACAGTGGATCCACCACATACATTTTTAATCAAACTGCAATGCCCTCCCTCTTCTAATCTTGAAAGCTGCTTGAATTTCATTTAATGCATTGTTCTAATAACACAAACTGTTTCCTTAGATCCTTTATTTTTCCTAAATACTCAATTTAAAACAACAACAACAAAAAAAAAATGTCAGTTGGGGTTTCTCCATTATCCTTATCACTGTTAGTTGCAGAGCAGCTAAAAAAAAAAAAAACCCAAAATGCAATTCAGGAACTACCTGAAGCAGTTATGGAAAAGAAGAGGGAGATAAATTGTGATGCATGTGTTTTCTAATCAGGTTAGTAAGAGTTTGCTTGTGTTGACTCAGAAAGTTCTTGCTTAGTTTTAATGGCATCCACATGGCCACGGGCGCTGCTCCCATCTCCAGACCTTGAGCAGAAGGGTATTTGCCCCTGAGCAACAGCCAAAGTCAGCCTCATCTTCCAAGCAGAACGTCCAGAGAGCAGAGCAGCAGAACATGTCACGATTTATTCCTAAAGTAGCAATTTCCTCTCTGTTTTTTGCTGTAAATCCTTCTCATCTCCCTTCAGGCTACAAGTGTAAAGAAGCAGCACAATGACCTCGGTACGCAACTCGTTAAACTGACAGCTCATCTTCTTGTTTCTTCTTCCTTTTTCTTTCCTTTCTTCCGTCTTCTAGCTGCTGTAGCTGTGATTTTGCTACCACCAACATGAACAGCCTGAAGAGCCACATGAGGAGGCATCCTCAGGAGCACCAGGCTGTGCAGCTGCTGGAGCAGTACAGGTGAGATGCAGAGGTGGAAACTACATCTGGTTTCAAAATTAGCTGAATTTTATGAGTCTATGAATTCAGGGGCACCGTACACGGAGAAAAAGTTATAACAATTCTATGGGCCCCTGACCAAAAGGGGTCCTCCACAATTTATAATATTTTTTGTTCATAGAAATTTAAAAAAAAGAAAAAAAATTGGAGCCCTGTCAATTACAATAATAATCATGTTGTATTTTCAAAGATTGTTTTTAGCAGTAAAAATCAAATGTTACCCCTCCCAGAGCAAAAAACACACATCCATATTTGCATAATCCTCCTGGATTTGCATGAAATTGTTCATTCCTGCTTGGAGCATATGTTGATATAATAAATAATATGTCTGGCAGAATATTCAATGTTCTGTCACCTTCCTAAATTAAAGGAACCCTCCAGTCCCCCCCTCCAAAAAAAAAACATTTTTTCCAAAAGGATTTTTTTTTTCTCTAAATCATCTTTTGGCAATAAAGGTAAGGTAATTTTATTCGTAGAGCAGATTTACAGCAGCAAGGCAGTTCAAAATGCTATACATGAAGTAGAAGAAAATTCAAAAAAACAACAAACCAAAGAAAAAAGCTAAAGAAAAAAGTATAAAACTACAAAAATGGGACTCATTTGAATGGTTAAAATCACTAAAAGTCTTTGTATTTGGAAGGTGAAGACTGAATATTCACTGAACTGCAATCCACAACATTCTGGGGAACATAGGCAAAGGAAAGACTTTAGCAACTTAACCTTGACATCAATTAAATCACTCCCTCTTTGGTGACTGAGCAACAACCTGTTCTTGTGCAACAGTAGTTTCAGGTTTTGTCACTGTGTTTCCTTGTTCTTAAGGAGGTTTTAATTCTCCGTGGAGCGACAACTTTGGATAAAACAGGAATGATCACGACACAAGTTTGTCAGTATTTCAGATATTCAAAACAAAAACAAATCAACAATTTTCAATATCAACTGATATAAAACACTGACATCATGTGTTTTTATATCATAATGCCATATCATTCAGCTCTAGCCTCATATAATAATAAAGTTTTGCTGTTTTTTTCTCTTTTGCCTGAAGTGGTTTAGAGAGCCTTTTATTGACAGCAGGACTCCAGAGACAGTTTCAAAAATGAAGCAGCAGATCAATGAAGCTTTTGATGAGATTAAAGCTCAGAGGTCAACTGATTTATAAATAGTCTTAAATTAGGTAAACATTTTAGAAGGAAAAACATAAATTGCAGCGAAAGACTTGAACGTTTCCTGATCTTCAAAGGTAACACAAAAACAACAATGTTTCCTGAAACTGAGCAGTCGATGTGTGGTCACATGATTACATAAAACATTGAAAAGACAATTAGTGCAACTTTGCCTTCCACCTCCTAATATTTAAAATGACTGCTCCTTAATTTGTTAAATCATTGTTGTTATTGGTTAAAATGTAAATGCACTGTTTGTGCTGCGTTTTAATGTCCAGGTGTGGGCTGTGCCTTCATTATTTCTTCATCAGATAAGCAAGAAAAGTAGTTAAATGGGAAACTGCTGCTGCCGAGCCAACAAGCACTCAGAGCTCTTAATTCAAGTAAAACAGGCCACAAATAAAGCAAATTAGGTTAGAGAGTGAAGAAGAATATTAGGGAAGGACAGTTCATTTAGGAGACGCTCGATATTCTGTCTTTAGTTCCTCTGAAGACATTATTGGGTGACCGATTGACAATGAAGAAAAACTCCAAAAGCTTCAAATTAATTTTTAAATTGAGTCAAGTCCAGACTTCACTTTTAAAAAGCTAAACTTTTTATGCTTAATCAAGTTCAGCAGGGTGTCTACTTACCCTTAAATTCATGTATGCCTTAAATGAATGCCTTAAAATGTTTTTAATTAAATTTTTTTTTTATGTAAAATGAGAAATTTCTGCTTTTGCGATGCTTGACTGTAATCCCCTGTATTTATATAATTTTTGTTGGAGAATCAGAAGGTGCAAAACTCTTGGTTATATAAGTAAACCAATAATACTTAGAGACGAGTCCTTTACTGCCAGCCACGACAGGTTGGGAGATTTATTATCACTTCTACCACAGATGCATCAATACAAAATCATTGTTCCAAAAAGTCTTTCCCCAAAATCTCCACGTTCCTTATCATCAATCCCTTTTTATACTTCCAGTTATCCCATTGGTCAGCATTGGGAAGTCTTGACCGTGCACTTACTGCTTGGTTTTACGTCAGCGTACTTGCAGCTCTTACACTGGGTGTGTATTGGACCTTTTTTTTAAGACCCTTTTTTTTTAAGACCCAGACCCTCTGGACGAATCAAAGGGAAGAACAAGAGGCTGGTTTTTACCAGACAAGCTTCACTTTGCTCAGTGCCTGACTTGTAAAGTTTTGGCAGTGATTTTCTTACGGTAAATGTCTGTTTTACCCACACTTACATGTACATCACAAAATCTCACAAGGAAATAAAGTCTCCAGGTTGTCTCATTAGTGACGATTAGTGACTATAAACCGGAATCAACTTAAGGCAACATGTGAACATGTTCTACTAATAGAAAGTGCTGGTGCCAACTGGAATCAGTTGAATGTGTGGTTTGGTTCTGCTGCTGTAGCAGCTGTGGCTGCGGCCCAGGTTGTTAGGTTCTCCATTTGGACGTTGTTAACACAACGTCTCTCCAACAGCTCCGGGGAATTTCTCTAAACTGACTCTGTGTAATTACTCAGTGGATGAACAGCTTTCTGTGGTCAAACAGCAGTTCACTGTGACATCATGTTCCCTTGTTTGACACATTTGGGTAATACTGGGATGATTGATGATATATTAAGCTTCAATTTGCACCAAATTTCACATTATGATCTCTCAGTGAACTCTGTTGGCATCATCAGCCAACCTGGAAAGAATCACAGAATTGAGATGAAGAAGTGACAAACTTTTCCTGGCTGCTGATGATTCCTTGTTTTCTGCTAATGTCGATTTTGGGTGGTTCAAGTTTGCACCATAATGATTTTACACCTTAACCTGTATTAATTCAATAAAAATAACTAACCATAAAATAAAGATATGGTGCAGGTTTTCTATTAGAAGTAGCAACTTTAAATTCAATTTTAAAAAAAATGAATTAATGTTGAGATGAATTGATCACCAAGGTTATCCCAAATCTCAAAACTGCTAGGTAGTTTTGGAATTTTAATTAGAGCTCAGTTTTATTTTGTCATCACTTTTTCTTTGTCTGATTCAGTTCATTTTGATTAAAGTATGTTAAATAGCTTGTATTAGTTATTCATGTTTAAATATTGTTTAGTTTGGCTTTTATTAATTATTGTCCTAGTTTGTTTATCCATAGGTAGAACTCAAAAAGGTCCATCTCTTGTATTATGATTATCTTTACGTCGGTTGAGTAATGAATACTCAACAGAAGACACCATTTTCAAAATATGATTATTCTTGAGCAACAGCTAACTGGAGTTTTTCCCCAACTTTTGTTCTCGACATTTTGCAGACTAGCATAAGTGCCACCAGGGGGAGTGTGGTGTACTGTAATTTTCAGTTTGAAAGACTAATGGATAGATTCAAAACACAATACAAAGGACATTAAATCTATCATCTTAGTAGGTTTTAGTTAGTTTTATAAATGCATGACATAGTTCCAGTTTGTTTTAGTTTTTAATTATTACCAATATTATTTCAGTAAACAAAAATGTTTTCTCAGTTTCAGTTTGTATTATTTAGTTTTGTTCTAATTATAATAACCTTCTTAATTACATAATTCACAACAATAAGCATTGTTTTTAGATAATTTTAGTTTTCAGTTTGTTTGTTTTTTTTCTCAAAAAAAGTGCATAACAGAGCAGACTGTTGATGAACTTACTGCCTGAAAGAGTGAGAGTTTTAGTTTTGATGCACAAAATTAACAAACACTTCAGAAGGTGGTGGCTGAAGTTTGTAAGAGATTGGAAACTTGCAAATGGACAATGACCCTAACCTTAAACCTGAAGGGTCCTAAAGACAGCAAAGTTCTGATTTCTGTCCTTAGAGCCTTGTTTTGCAGAGATGATGGTGGTGTGAGAGCAGAGCGACCTACAAACCTGTGTGCAGGAATGGATCAAACTTCCTGCAGACCGTATTGAGAAGCTTCTGAAAGAAGAACCAAAACATTTGATCCATGTTTTTGAGTACAGAAGGAAATTCTACCAGATAATAACAATTTATATGTGTCAGTATCAACTTATGACTTTTTGTTGACGGCACCGTCAGGGTATTTAGAAGAATAATTTGTGTACAAACTCATCCTAAAGAGATTTGTTTATTGAGATAATTACCAACACATTTTTCATTGTATTTCACTGGCATTGACAGCTAATTTTCTTTGCTGTATTTTCAATTGTTCAAAAATTAGTAGAAATTAAAATAAACACAAATAATAAAATGAAATCAAAATTTTTATTCCAATATTTGTGTGTCACCATCAAATTTTGCAGAGTGAGTTTGCTTTGTCAGCTGGTTGAGGGAGGTTGACTTTCTTCGCTCTTAACATTTGGAGCTTTGAACCTTTAAATAGTGCTTAACAGAATTACCTATAATTCTATCAAATTTGACAAATGACTCCAGCAGTTTGCTGTAAATCCCCTGTGAGCTCTTTGTCTCCAGAGCTCGCCGTCTTCATTCCGTTTGAGTCGGGATGATTCCTCCTGATAGAAAGGAGGAGGAGGATTAGCAGAACCTCAGCTCGCGTATTAAATCATCTACCACTGGATCCGCTTTTGCTCTGTCGTTCATCTTCTCCTCCGTCACACTTCCTCTCCTTGCCAGGTGCTCCCTGTGCGGCTACGTGTGCAGCCATCCGCCGTCGCTCAAATCCCACATGTGGAAGCACGCCGGGGACCAGAACTACAACTATGAGCAGGTCAATAAGGCCATCAACGAGGCCATCTCCCAGAGCAGCCGGTAAGCACTGTTCACTGTTCAGAGTTTACCAGCAATGCTCTTCTATCATAACCTTGCTAGCTAGTTTTTTTGCACTTATTATGGATCAGTGTAAATTTATTGGCATTTGAAAATTCACATAAAAGTCTTTTATGTGAATTGATTCATAAAGGCCTTAGTAAAAAGTCTTAAAACGCTGAGTTAATATCAGTTGTGTTGTTGGACTGTGGGAGGAAGTCGGAGCACCCTGAGAGAATCCTCACTTCCTGTGGCAGGAAGAGCATTTAAACTCCATGCAGATAAAAATCAACAATGGGATTCCAACCCCAGACCTTCTTCGACTCCATGTTGTCCGATTTTCAACGTTTTCCACAAATAAAGATCTGAAATGTGTAGCATACAGTATTATTGATCCCTTTTTAAATCAATAACTGCATCATGCTGTGTGGATGCAGCTGAAATGGCCTTATTCATACTTGTGTGTCACACAAATGATGACACTAGATGTCATCTATAGCTGTCCACTAGGGGTCTCTGTGGACGTTCTGAGCATCATTTTGTTTAATGAGTGCTTTGGCAGGAATAATTATAGGCACCAAACACAGTGTTAATAGCAAATCTAAATAATAAACTCATAAACAGAAGAAGAAAGTTGTTCCCAGTGTGGATCATTTCTTTTATTTGGCAATTGTGGATAATTTTAAAATGGATCTATGGACCAAGGCGACTGTTGCTTTTTTGGACATTGACCTCCATGTTTATATGTACCTGTGGATTGCTTTGGGGTCATAGAACCTTTATCTAATTGGCATGAACAACTCGGCCTGTTGCAATAAGTAATCACTCAATTAATTGGATGATAAATTAAAATGAGCTCAATAATTTCTGTTCTCGTGATTGATATTTTTTGAACTCCAAATTAGTTTTGAGACTTAATAATACATGTTATTTATTGCTTTTGGCTGTTTTGTTTTCTTATTTTGAATATTTAAAGTATCTTCCAGTGATAAGTTTTCTGTACATAAGTAAAGTGTGTTGATCATTGAGGGAGCAAACTTGGATTTTTATGTCAACTTGAATAAGGTCTAAAAAACGAAAATATCATTTATAACAATAATTATTGGGTTAATTTATCATCAAGGAAACAGGCCAAAAAAATCCCCTAAAAATCACATTTCAGCAAAAAATCAGAAATGAGCATCCAGATCTGCTGTATGACTGCAGAATGAGTTGTTGGTGGACCACTCAGCACAGGTCAAAAATATCCATGATGATTATTTGAATGTTTGGATATGTGAGCTTATGGAAAAGTTAGATTTTTGTGAAACCCTGCCACATGCTGTGGATTCCTCCCTGAAGCTGACTTGTGTTCCCTTCAGAGAGTCTCAGAGTCCCTGGTGGCCCGGAGTCTGGGGCCGAGTGTCCAGTGGTGGCCCTGCCTTTATAGGAGACGGCCAGTACCCAGGTGGACCCTCACCCAACACACACATCAGTAACAAAAGCCTTTCTGCCTTCCGACAGCCCTGCTGGACCCCCCAGCCCCCCGCCAGACTCCACCCAGTGCCCCGCCCAGGGGAAGAACCCGGCCGCATCCCAGGGCCCTCCACACACAGGACCTGCCATGTCGGGGCCCCCCATGGAGTACTGCGTTCTGCTGTTCTGCTGCTGCATCTGCGGCTTCGAGTCCACCAGCAAACAGCGTCTGATGGAGCACATGAAGGAGCATGAGGGCGACATCATCAGCATCATCCTTAACAAGGAGCAGCAGCAGGAGGCAGAGGCCCAGGCCGGCCTGCAGACAGCAGAATGACACACATCCGGAGGTGATGAGAGGTCAGAGGTCACTGCAATGGCTGCTGTGTCACACAGGCACCTATTACAGGCTTCAGAAGAGAAATGTGATTTTAATTCGTTAATATTCATGTCAAAGCATTTCACCATTCAAAGCTTTGGCCCAAGTTCGAACAGTAATAAGCTCAACCTTTATTAAATCACAAAACATTGACTTATTTTCTTCCCTAATTTGATCACTTTTTTATGATGGCAGCTCTTTCATTGCTACTGTAGTATTTACCATGTTTAGCATGACATGTCTGAGGTTCTCATCCTGTAAAGAGTTAGCAGCATACCTTCATCAGAGCCTAAAGACTCGCATCGCTGCTCAAACAGAAGGAGTATTTATCCGTTTGTTTTTCCGTTAGCTGCCAGTTTCTTTAAGTTTGCTGTATGGTTTGTAAAGTAGAGAAGGAAGTAGAAGTAATGTACATTGACTGAGGGGTTGTTGTAAATGCCTGTAGACAAAAGGAATGACAAAAAGGGAAGTCTGTTGTTAGTAGAGCCATTATTTGAATCTGCCAGTGCCAAGGTTAGGATGTAGGAAAATGTTTCCTTAAAGGAGATACGGTTATCTCATGTTTGTGGTGCTATGTTCATTTGAAAGCAAAAATTTGTATGTATTTTTATATCTCCTGCTGTTTATGTTGTTGGTGTGAGTGTGTGTGTTTAGTGAAGCTTTTATTATATTTTAACATTCTCAAAAAGTACAAATCATCTTCTGATCAGAACATTTGTAAACACAGCGGACCCCCGCCACTCATGGTTCAGCATTTACAAATTATCCTGTGGACATGATTTCATGTTATTTGCAAAAAATCCACCCATTTATTAATAGTTTTTGTAAATATTCTCCAAGAAAATTCCACTTGGGAAGTGAAGCTACTTAAAAGCAATGCTACCTGACACACCATTAGCTGGCGTTAGCAAACCAGTCAATCCAGAAGCGGCATTCGTTTTCAAGAGAGATGAGGAAGACTGTAGATGTTGGCTACGGCGATAGCGCTAAGATGCTTTCCACTGTGTGTTTTAATGCATATTAAGATATATCTAGTATTTCAGCTATTAATATAGGCAGTTGTAAGCCTTTTTAGATGGGGTGGCAGGTTTCACAGATCACTGAGGGCTCACTGTAATTGCCTATGCAGTTGAACATTTTGTTTCATGTCATGGTTGAGACAATACAGTGAAACGTTTTTGAATGAAAGCAGTTGTATTATCCACCTTATTTCTGTAACCATGATGCTGTGCATGAACTGCGTGTTCAGGAGTCATCCTGTTTCACTTCGGGTGCCTGTTTAACACAAACCTCCTGAAGCTCAGTTTGGTCTGGTAAAAGTGTCCAAAACAAATCCAGGTCAGGAGATCATGAAATCAGGAGTACTACTCCTGAATATCGCAGTACTACTCCTGAATATCGCAGTGACAATGTAGAAGATGAGCACAATTTCTTCTAAACCTTTTCCTACTATACCTTGTCACCTCAACCATACTGATCTTGAAGTTTTGAATCTATCCATTTGGCCAAATGTATCATCAATATGTGGATCCTGGCACTTAAAATATTGCATTCCACTAAGTATTCCATCCAAGCAGTACAGCTCATATGATTATCTTCCCAAAACGAAACTCTTAGTGCTGCTGCTGCTGTCTTGCAGGAAGCCGTAGACACTGAATCCTACAGCAGCATCACCAGGAATAAGGTGGATAAGTAGTTTGGACTAAAACAGATTGGTTATTCCAGGTTGGCTCACAACAAAGCTACACTAAAAATGATTGCATGAACATTTGATAAATATATTGCTTCGAAGAGTGTATGTAGAGATTAGCTGAAAGCGGTCGTACATTTACTCAAATCTGTTAGTTGCACTTAGTATTAGGAATGTCAGCATAAATACTCATGAAACATTTTTACATAAACATAAAAAAATAACCCAGATCATATATTTTTGTATGAACTTGTTCTCCTTGCTCAGCTGCTAGTTAGCATGAAGTGACAGCTCTGCATGTTCATAGATTTTTGCTCATGTTTTAGTTCAATCCAACCAGGTTGTTTTTGTTTTATTTAGTAGTCTTCCATAAAGTGGGATTTCAACCTCTGGTAAAAACTTGTAAAATATAGAAATTTGAACATCTAAGAAACCTCAAAGACTGAATTCACAGAAAATTTGGAAATAAATGCCTTGAACTCCCAGTTAGCCAGTTTCAAGTTGCCAAAGAAAACCTTCCATCACCTTTAAACAGGCAAAATTATCAAATTCTGCACGCAAGTCTACTAGTGGGTTTGAGTTTCGCTTTTGTTTTGTAGATGAAGGTTATCTGAACTGTAATGTTACACCAGTCAATTCAAATTATTCAAAGCTGTTCTAGATTATCTTTCAACATACCAGAACAATAATTACCTTTGTTGGATAAATGGCCACAAGTTTAAACATTTGATCATTTCTTCTGAAGGCAGATTTTTCTTATGCTGCTTCCTGAAAGGCTAAATTTCTGTTAACTTTGCACAGTTAGTAACCAAACTGTGATGTGTTGCACATAATTTATAATCCACCTGTTTTGAAACGTTTCCCCTCTTTTGAAACGAGGTGAAGATGGCTTTATGGAAACTTTAACTGTAGTTAAAAAGACGAACAGGGACTCCTGGAATACGAGACAAACTCTGCATCTCGATAATTTTAAAGTAACGCGTGTTTTGAACAACATGCAAGAATCAGCAGGTAAAATAGACACGCAAGTCTAGTTCCATTTACAGATAACATGGTCAACAAACTAGATAACATGAGTAGAAAATAACTTAAAACAGTGTTCAAATCTGTAATTATTTTTACATTTTGTCTGACTGATAGAAGATAAAAGCAAGTCCAGGTTTCATAACCTCTGTGAGAGGAACTCACAACAATCAGTGCAGTTTTTTTGCATGCATGACTCCTGATTGGACAAACTGGTTTTCTACAGCCACTCTTCACTATACCCAACCATACCAAAACCTGTGAGTCTGAATTATTCCACCATAGTGTATACAAATATTCACTCCAGTCTTTTTTATTATTATGATTTAAAAATTCTAGCATGGAATGTTAAAAGTAGCCACTACTAGTGGGTTTGAGGATGTAACCTGAGAGCTGAAGAAAACCAGTCGAATGCGTTACCTCTAAACTATTCTGTATCGTTCCAACAAAACTTTCTCCATTTTACTGAATAGCACCAGAGAACTTTAGCACTTGTTATATCTGTTGCTTTTTGTCTTGTTCTCAGTTAAATCCAATTTATTTTTAGACTTTTACCAGACGGGAAGCTCTCGGGCATGAAGACCTCAACTTTCTATTCATGTTTCAAACACCTTGCCTCAAAATTAAAATATTTCAGGAGGAACAAAATATTGGACTCCTTTCTGCGATGATACTTTATCTGCGAAGAACTGACATGACCTTTAAGCAAACTTTTTGAGACCTGTGTGTAGAATTTCTAATTATTATGAAAGATATATTTATATATAATATGTGGTATATTTTATGCGTGATGGAGCACATGGAAATTCTCTCCTTTTTTCTTGCTGTTAAACGCTTCAACAACATGGCCTTTATTGTGTGCCATATTTCTGTTAAAAAGCAATGATCTCCTGTCTGTTTTTTTTTTTTTTGTGTGCCTTTTAATATATTTGTGACGAAAAGCATTTGTAGAATATTAAATGTCCCTGAATGTCTGAAACCCCTATGTTTTAACATTATTCAGGTCAAATAATCCAAACCCACCAAGTACATAAGGCACCCCTGATGTATCACTAGCCAGAGCTACTTTAACTTTAACAACCTCAAAAACTGACATTTCTATAAAATATGAAATATTTTTACAAGTTCATTATGTTATAAAAGGTTTTCAGATCTTTTTTTTTTTTTTGCTAACTTTTGAACTGTTTAGAAAAAATCTTGGTTTGAAGTTCAGCATAGCAAGACGAGTTATGTCTATTTGAACCAAAGGACACAACGTCTACTCTGTATTTTTATGCTCATATCAAATTTTGTAACAGATTCAACATAAAGATGTATCGGACTGTAATGTGACACTTTCTTTGTATTTATTTTTAAACATCCTACAAAGTATTTCATCACTTTGTCATTGTATCTTTTGCTAATAAAGAGAATGTGAAATGATTTTGGTCAAAATGTTTCAGTGAAAAGAGGCTGAGGAATCTGAATGCCAGAATACCCTAAACAGGTAAACACAGTCACATGACCAACAAGCAGATGTTGACCACTGGAGCAAACCAAGAAGAAGATGACAGGAAACGATTTGTCACATGAACAAACTTTTTCATCTGTGATTTTAATTACATTTCTTATTGAAATGTAATTCAATAAGAAATTACTTTGTGAAAATTGTGTCAAATATACACAATTTTGCAATTGTGTATATTTGACACTATCAGAATATTGACAGAGTTTTGCGCTCATTTGTAATGGAAACGCAGCTGCTGTCATTTAATGGTCTGTCCATCTGTCAATGTTCAAATACCACTTTGAACAGCAGTATTTGAACTGCTACCAGACTAACTCTCAGAGTTGTACAATTTCAAGACACTTAAGAATTTCAACAATGGAATTGATCAATTTCCATTCCTGAAAATTAAAAAAAAAGGTTGATAACCCAGGTGTTTGACATCATTTCTCAGTTTTGGGTAATCCTATTTTTTTTTTTTTTTCCAAAGCCTCTAGTATCATTTAACCCGGCATGTCAACTGTACAATTCCATAAGTGTGAAGGTAAAGCTCTCTTCTTTCCAGATTCTGCCTTTGTGTTTACTCTGGAATCTGTCAACCAAAAGCCCTTCCTCCATAATGTGGCTTTATTCATTTTTTATTTGTTTAAGCAACATTTTGGAAAATATTTTTATGTTGCCTGATTTTATTCATTTGCTATTAATATGAATTATTTTCATCTTTAAAACATCAAAACGTCCACATAACATCACATTTTGGTCTATTTGAAGATGTAATTTTTAAATATTAAAAGATTGATGTTTAGATCAGGTACTCTACTTGAATAGACATTTTAACAAATACATTTACTTCAGTGAGAATATATTAAAGTAGTTCTACTTGTACTTGAGCACAGTGTGATGCTGCTCCACCCCCTCAGGTTGTTGGAGCTGTGATGTGCTTTGGACCCGTCTGAACCACTGCTTTTATGGAGACGGGTGGGACAGTCTTGTTATTTGTTTCCAGGGGAGACGAGGCTCGTCTTTGTTTTTCTGACAACTCCTTTACATCTTGATTGAATGTTTCTCATTACACTGTGCTGCCAGGCTGTTTCCAAGGTGAACATTTCATTTTGTCTTGAGGACAGGCAAGGAAACCAATGAAAATGCAGTCCAGGTTCTTTTATAATCTTATTTTTTCATGCTGGTTGAGGATCAATTGGGTTTTACATTTTCTGTTTTTGAAAAAATAAATTAAATCTAATCTCTCTCAGTTCAGCCTTTCCATTACTTGACATGCACAATATCTCCTTATCAAAGAAAAAAAAAGTGTCCTTTTCTGCATTCTCATCACGTTTTCCCAAAATCCCGAGCATAATAAAACCTTCATGTCTATTGATTTCTGTAGAGGATCACATTTTCTACCTAAACTGGTTAATAATATCACTATGAAAGTGAAGATCAAGGTGAAAGAAGGGAGGGAGAGGCAAAGAAAAGCAGGGGGTGGAGGGGTGGGAGCTATTCCTATTGAGATTAATTGCTAATTCTGGGATTTCTTGCTTCAGAAACATTGCTTCATGTTGCAGTGGGTAGAGAGGAAAGAGGATTTTCAACTCCATGCTGTCTGAAGAGTTCAACTGGGAGAACAGAGAGAAAGATGAGAGTTATCTTCAGTAGGTTATCCTTCATAAAGTAGATTAACAGTCAGGGTAGGGATGACAGGACGTACATGAGATAAAGAAAATATTTGGACATATTTTTGTCCAAACTGAAATTATTTAAAGGTGCAGTATTATGTGTCTTCCAGACGCGCAACACAATCAGTTACTTGATTGTACCATTTTACAACACAAGGACACTTATAACACTTCAGGTATGAGAATGGTACATGTGTCACATATGACTTCAAATAATTTTGGCTTTGTAATTTAGTGCCTTGAAATGGGGCTTTTGTCTCTTTAAAGTTCATCTTTAAAACATTTTAAAGTGTAACGGGAAGGGGGGGACGTGGGGACTGACCAGGACAAAAGAAGTGATGATGCCACCTTATCCACTTTGTCACCAGTAGTCAGAGCAAAGCAGACCCATTCCCCTCCATGTTCACATGGCAACTAAATCACACACATGTAAAGCTGAGTAATATTTAGGTTATAAGAGCAAATGAGCAGCACTAGAAAGTGATGTATCAAATGATCTGAACTGATGTATCAAATGATCTGAACTAATATCCTTCCAAAATAAAGACTTGTAGGGAAGCCAGATGCTGGTGAGAAGTTTACATATGCTCGCCAAGGGCCGTAAATAGACTTGTAATGTTGAACTGATCAAATTTTCTAGCCGAGATTACACAATTGCAATGGTCTTAAAAACAGGAATTGATTGCACAAGTGCAAGGAACAACAGAGTAAAGACATAGTGCAGAATAATCTGGGAAATGAAACTGACCAGCTTTAAAGTGCACAAAGAAGCGTTAGTGGAGATCCTTCCTCTTGCTCTATAAAGAGAAAGAAATACAAAGGGCTCTAATGCTAAAATATGAATCTAAACTAAAGCACAAAGTTGAAGAATACAATAATAAACAGAACTAGTAGCTTTATGGAACAACCTTAGTGGCAATTATCAAAGACAAAAAAAAGAAAAGAAATTGCGTGACATTATCTTTAATCAGTTTACAAAAATATAATGAGGATATTAGGACAACTATAGTGTTATTATAATAGAATTTTCCTTTAGTATAAAAGCTGATTGAGGAAACATTTCTATCATTCCTGGATTATAATGTGATCCAACATGCTTTAGCTTAGCCACTGTTTTCCACAGAGTGTGTTTGGATTTAAAATTGTAAACCATGACAGGCACCAGATCATCTTTATTGTTTATTAACTCTTCAACACAAAATCATTGTTACCTTTCAATGCAGGTCTCTGTTGGACACCCTGCAATAATCAGGTTACAGCAGTCACCAGATGTTTCCAACAAAATTGCTCCAGTTTTTCTTCCTTTGATTCACAAACTTAAAATACCTTCAGAAAAACGTTGATCAGATTCTTTTTCGATAATTTACACAAGCCATAGAAACCTGTGAGTGTTATTACCTTTATTGTTTTAAGTTGATTTGTTGCTTTTATCAAGCTTTTATTTATCATCACTTATTAAATAGGATTTTTAAAATTTGTTCTCATAAACAATATCAAAAATATCAATCTAACTAAAAAACTAAAAAATAGAAATGAGTACAACAGTTTATTAAAACATTTATTATTATATTTTCCAGCAACTGAAAACTTTATATTTTTCTGTTTTCTATTTGGGTTTTTTGGTTTGGACAACCACAATGTCAACAGTTTTTCACTCATTACAAAGAGCTTTCATCTTCACTGATGCATGAAGCTGCAGGAGGAAAAGGCCAATAACAATGCCACAATATCCAGTCCAATAAGTCTAATATCACTTCTTCACATCATTTCATCACCAAGGTGAGCAGCAAGCCAGCTGGAGAGTAATAACGACCATTTCGGAAAATGGAATGTAAGGTTTTTCTTGTTTTATATATAAATTAGAGATAGAAAAAAATCTAAAAGAAGATGTAGCTTGAAACCATAATATTTTAAAGTGACCCAGTGATGACTTAATAATAGTGAGAAAATCATTATGTGCCTTTGAGAACTATTACTTTTATGTCATACTTGTCCACTCACACAGACTTGGGGTCTTTGCCCAAGGAAGAGGTTATACATGAAGGACAGAATCTTTGCTTTTTTCCATTAGCAGGAATCACTGTCTGGATGAAGACAAAAGCAGACTAACAGCAGAACACAGGAGAGGGTCAGAGTTAGGTTGTGGAAAGTGGGGCAGTTTTGTAGGAAAAACTTATCAGCTAAAATTGTAAACGCCCCATCCAGATCTATCACTCAAATAAAAAAAATATTGATGTGAGAACAATATTATTATAAGACTATTTCTGTTATATTTCTTAAACTAATATTTTATTTCACCACAAGACGGTCTGTTATTTCTAATTAGTCTTCCGTTTATTTTCATTCTAATTTTTTTTCACTCGATCTCTAGTACTTTACAGGATCTGATGGGCAGGAAAATCTCTGACAGTGGGATGCAGGCAGTCTAAACAAGAACAGACTTGATAAAGCTGGAAATGTAGGCAAGTTGAAATCAAGTACCATCTTAAAAGATTAAGCAAGTGTGTACAATTTTCTTAAAATTCAAGTTCTATTTTAAACACTTCATTTATCCAATTTGATCAAACTTGTAAGTCTTATTCATGTATTTTGATGGTAGCAGATCACAATAAAATCACCCATAAAGAAGTAAACTTAGGCTATTTTAGGATTTTATTTTGAAGCATAGAACTGCCGACTTCCGGTACTGAAATGCAGTGCCGCAACCTGCATATATTGAACACACGGGAAGGATTGAGCAAGTTTTGGGAGAAAAAGAGGGATAAATTAGGACTAGCAAGTGATATAGCAGGACGTTAGTAGAACAGGGAGACAGGGGGCCTGTTGGACCGTCCTACCAGCCGCTCCTTTAGCCCAGAGGAGGGTGAGAGGCTGGCATGGACCGCTTGTAACCTAACGGAGACCGTTCCGTCGTCGTCTGCAGCGCGAGCGCGCCTTTGTGTTAAAAGCAGAATGATTGTAATGAGGCGCTAGCTGTGTGTCCGAGCGGCACAGCAGGACTTTAACCCTGCCTCATCCTCCTCTAAGTGTCAATGACCGCATCACCCATGTGTCAGCTAACTGCTGATGATATGTGAGCAAACCCTCCGGTTTAAAGATGGTAGAAATGAATGTGGCTCTCCGTTAATCTGGTCTCGAGCGGATTTTGACATTTCTCAGTCCGGCTGTAACGTGAGCAGGAAATCCCGAGCAGCAGACCCGTCTATCCCGGGGGTTACAGCGGCGCTCAGCGTTGTTTACATTCGCGCATTAAAAATTCATCGTATCTGCGTGGATTTCCACACGCGCACCCGCCGGTGGAAAGCTGGACAGTTTGGCAAAATGACGAGCCTGCGCCAGAGGAAAGGAAACAGGGGGAAAGAGGCGACTCAGGCTGCCGAAGTTCAGCCCCAGGAGTCCAACTGTTGCACCCATCACCATCCAGACAAGATCCTGTATGGTGAGAGAGAGAGAGAGAGAGAGAGAGAGAGAGAGAGATGAATCGTCCTGGGACGCTGTCAGTCAGTAGGAAAACCTGATGTCATTAAATAACTAAAACAGGTTTTGTTCCAATCAGCACTCCTGCTGCCAGTGTTGAACAAACTCTGCACTGGTGGTAACACCACTCTGCAGCCAACTCTTCAGTCATAGCTGAGCCTTTTACAAGGAAGTTTTCTTGTAGTTTGATGGTGGTCACCTGCTGCACCCAAGCCTCGAGTGACCAAACTGCAGCCATGTTTCTGGCCTTTGGGAGAAAACCAATTAATTGTGTGATAAATTAAAAAGAGCTTGATCATTTCCTTTTGGACAATGGAAGTTATAAATATGCTCCCCTTTAATATTGTTCAAAAGTCGACATTCTAAGAACTGAGTTAGCATGGTCTCTTTTTTTGTTTTTGTTTTTTTTTTTTCACAAAAACTTGCACCTTATTTTGTTTTCACTGTCTAAGCTGAATGATTAATATTTTTTGAAGCACATTTCTTGTTACAGAGACTTCTTCACCCGTTATAATTATTTTTTATGGTCATTTATTTAGGATGTTTTTCAATTCCAGCATTAAATCTTTAGACATTAATGTTTTTTTTTATCTGTGAAATTGTGTATTTGAATTAGTATGGCATTATTATTATTATTATTATTATTTGAGCTGAAAATGATCTCTAGAATTATATTATCATTTAATTCATATTTTATAATATCATTTAATTATAGATATTATCATTTATCTGTGGTAATTTATTGTCCAGTAAAATGAGTTATTGTGCCAGGCAACAGATTTATTGGACAACATTTAACCTCCATGCAGAAGGACTCAACACTAGGACCTTCTTTGCTTTAATGTTTCTAGAACACTTTAATCTTTTTCCCCGTTTTGTAAATAAGTGAATGAAAAATCCTTAAAAAGCGAAAAAAGGATTGTTTACCAATAATAACCAAAAAAGCAAAAAACAGAAAATAAGTTTTTAAAAAGCTGTAGCTGCAAAAGACATAACATATTCATGTCCTTGCAGGCGATTGGTCATGGGGCGCTATAATCTGGACATCGATTGGTTGGTCTGTTTCTGTGGGCTTAGGCCTTCTGTGCTCCATCTACGTGGCCATGTTGCATGAGAACGACCTGTGGTTCTCCAATATCAAGGTAAAGGCCATAAGTCTCCTGCTTTCTGCTGAGTGTTCTTTATGATGAATGTGATTCTCTGGTTCTGTTCAGTCCAACTTTCTGTCTGTATGTACTCTGTAGTCTGAGCAAAGGGAGGCTCAGATTTCTGCAAATCCTCCCAGTCTGGAAGTGAATGTCTGGTTCCAACTACCATGTTCTCTTGGAACCAGTCACAAGCTGGAAAGCCATTTGGTTTGTCAAAATTGGAGAAGCTCATGTGTAAATGCTGAAATATTGCACTCAGATCTTGTTTTGATGGTTCGTGTTATGTTACATATTGTCTCGCAATATCTCCACTGAGGCTTACAAGGGCACTTGTTAGAACAAAGCCAACACTCAAGTCGAGCTTTTGTGTGAATCAGTCAGCAGTTGTGGTTTCACACATCAGTTGGTGTGGAATAGGAACTGTTTGTTCATGTTGATGTATGAAATGAGTGACCCTGAATTCACAGCTGTTTTCCTGACAGAGTGAGGGTGTACGGGTAAAGAATGAAATCCCTGTAGACTTTTTTTGCATCGCACAAGTCATGTGATGAACAACTGAATGTCACAGGTGCAAACCACGAAGAAGAAGGTGACAGGAAGTTGTTGGAGGATTGTGGCACATCATGTTTTTTAAATGACTTATCATGTGTTCAAACTTACTCAAGTTTGTTCAGGCTTCCTATTTAAAGGACACACTAATATAGAAAATGTTTTTTCTTTCTTTTTTTACATGAGTTTTGTGCATATGTGTAATGGAAACGCAGCTAATGGCAAGATTGGCAAAACAAGAGCAAAAACAAACACATAAAAACAGTGAAAAAGGACAACAACACGAGCAAGAAAAAACAGAAACGATCAGAATCAGAACGAATCACCATGCCTTTAATGTCATCTCACAGAAGCACACAAACATTTTATTTCAGCACAGGTCTTGAGGATAAAGAACAATTAGCGCAACAATAACTACAACATGGAGAATGAGAAGAAAATGAAAAGAAAACTGATAGAAGTTAATTAGTTGTGGACGTTTTCCACATTGACAAACACGTCCACAGAATTCTGACCCATCACACAACAGCACTGCATTAAGGCAATCTGGGGTTTAATCCAGAATTTTTATTGTCACAAAGCTAATTCATGGTACCCTGTGCTGGAAACCTAACCATCTCCATGACAAGTTCAGGAGGATTGACAGCTTTTCTTCTAATAACTGCCAGCAGCTTTTTGAAGTTAAAGTCAAAATGTGATTGTGTGGCAGAGTTCTGCTTCTGTTAAACTCTCTCTGTAGAGTGAAACATGTCTTCAATAGGTTTAATACCTACAGAACAAAATTGATGTTTTACTTAATTTTGACATAATGCTTAATTTTTTATTGCAGTTGCCTAAATTCAAAATGACATGTACAAACTAGTGGCTCTAAGAAGTCATTGAAACTGATCATCAATTATTGTCATGTAACTGTGCTTCTGCTAGGCTCTAGCAGAGTAACAAACTTATCTACAGGTCAAGTTTTAAAATTCAAATCCTAGCTTTAGTACTCAGTTGTGAGGTTATGAAAACTTGGCTACAAAAATGTTTAATTTTCTGCTTTTTGTCGAATAAAAACATCTCTTCATCATGTTACAATGACACACCTCCCCTTATGCTGCGATCTCCATCAAATGCCTTGGAAATGCATCATAAACACCTCATTGTGTAAAGGGATGATGGTTTTTCCATGCGTAGTGCGGTGCTGATTTCTGAACTCAGCCAAATGGAAGCATCGTTCCTCTGGGATAAAGTTTGCACTGTGTGGTGTGGCAACATTGCCAAATATGATGTCATTTTTAATGGTCCTTGTAGCACTGCAGAAAAACATTGTTTTAGACTGACTCAAAGCAGTATTATCTGATTTCACAGTCTGCATTAAACGCTGACAAAATAAAACTCCTGCTGTGGGTTTTCTCATTTTGTAACTCATTTAGTTTTCATTTGTTTTGGTGGACAGACCCTGCCAAGAATGTGTAAAAAGTAGTGGTGGGACTCCATTGCAAATTTTAATCAAGTTAATTGCAGCATCTGTCGTTAATTAATTAATTAATTAATTAATTAACTACATATTGACTAAATAAGCAACATCCTGGATTCAAAAACTCTTTTTTTGTCGCTCAACTATTGAACGAGACATACCAGCTCAACAGAAAAGATATTGATTGGTTTTAGTTTGTTGTTGATGTTACTCAACCATCAGAATGTGTGTAATAGCATATTGCACCATTCAGCTGTGTGAGGTGATGTTTCAGGATTTGCTCACCGTGACGAGGCCTGGTGGCTGCTGGTTGAACTGCAGTCTGCCCAGTTTACCACCATCAGACTGAAGGTCCTGGCAACAGAACCACATCATCTTCAAAATCGCTAACATTATATTATAAACACTTCAGGTCATACACCTGTCTCTGGGTTTCATTTACAAATGTGCACAAATATTGTTGACGTTCTGGTAATGTTGAAAAAGATTTTAACTTGCTTTAGCAACATCCACCTTCTGAGTGAGTCCTCAGACTGCCTCCTTCACCAAGGATTAGGGCCATTTATTATTATTCAGTTGAAAATACATACATAAGTGCATAAAAGAAATCAATACACTAAATTATTTTGGCAAGTTAATATGTTTTTAGTACTCATTGATACTTAAGACAGCATCAACAATGTTTGTTTATTTTTGAGTTCAGATGCTAAAGCAGATTTCGCAGCCATTGAGAAGTGCTGGCAATGGAACCAGAAGGAATAGACACCAAGTAATTTATAGTGGACATATTCACTTAAATTCTTCCTTTTCACATGTAAATCATTCACATATGGTCTATAGAAAGTGGGACTGCAATGCTTTGTTCTGAATTCCTGGTTATTGTTGTTCCACAGTCTCTGTTTCAGAGCAACTCATTTTGCTGCAGTCTTTTAAAATATGAATGAGACATTTCATGCCACGTCCCCCTCCAGGTCGCAGTGTTCCACTCCACTACGTTCAGCCATTTTTGTAGTTTTTACACCCCCTCCATCCATACAAATCAACTGTTATGTGTAGTTTAACTAGTCTTAAACATATTAGATACGTATTAAAACAATTAATGCTTCCACAATATGAGTAAAGTAAACAAGGCCTTGACATAATTCAGCAGTTAGATGACGTCCCAATAACGTCACTGAACACATTTGGGTTATGTGATTTCCAAGGCACAAATGGCAAAAACAAAGCCAAATGATTATATTCAAGACATGCAGTACAGCTATATCCTCAAGGCAGCTAACAGCTAGCATACAGCACTAACAGAAGTAGAAGGCTCAATGCTACTATCATACCAATGACCAGGATGTGATTATGAACATGCAACATTCATGCCTAAATAAGCTTTGCTGTCATTTCAGGGTTATTAGCAGCTCACTGCTTTGCTGTGCACCTTGTTTATCAAAGGAGAAGGAACTGACCCTCAATCAGATGAAGTCTTTCAGAAACTCCCTCTTGATACTGCTGGAGGTTGCTGAAGCGTTTATCCTTAAATGCTTGGTGCAAACTGACTTTCTCCATTGATGTGGGCATATTCCAGAGAAAAGTCAAATTTAACCAGACACTTCAAAGAGGCTCTGATACCCGGGAATGATGTAAGGAATCATGTGAGTCAATACATGATAGAACCAAATATTTTGACTTGTTTACTTTCAACTTCTGCATAACTGAATTTGGACTACAAAATCACTACGAGAAAAAAAAATGTCAGAAACTGATTAGCCCAAAGTCATGAGCTTGTTTAGCAGAACCACAGCAAATACAGTAGTGTCATAGAAGAACAATATAGCAAATAGAGAAAAATGATCAGACTGAAATTATGACCCAAAAAGAATATTAAGATATCTATGCATCACTGGGAGAGAATACATTTAAAAATGTTGGACTCCTTGACACTCAAAGTAGACAACAATGATTTTAAGGGCTAAAGATGTGGATTTTGCATATTATAAGCCACACACCTGAGATCCCTTAGTTCCAGCTGCATGTTCTGAAGTTACTCCCAGCCTGTGATCTTGGTAGAACCTGGAAAGACAAAGTGATCAGTATCAGTGATCAGGTTTATGACTGATGCTTACGAAAGCTGTTGTCCATAACAGGAAGTAGAACATATTTTAACAATCCCGCTTTCCTGAGGCAGTGTGGTCCTGAGATATGTTCTACGCTGCTGATTATCACCAGTGCTGCTGAACAGAGAGCTCAGTTGGCTCAGTTTGTCCTCTTGAATTCATCAGGTGTGAGCTCATGTCCATATGGATTCCAGGACCCGGCAGGGGTTTATTTGGAGCATGCGCTCATAGCTTCACACCAGCTCCAAAGCCACAAATTCTCTGACAAATGTTCCCCACGTTTTCCGAACGATGTTCCAACACGTTCCCCTCGGCGCTCTCTCCCACTCTCGTCTCTCTTATCCTGCGCCTGTGTGTGTTTTTATAGACAAGAGGTCAGTAGTAGTCCCCTCTTTTTTTTATTTCCCCTCTCCCTCCCTTCAGAGGCTGCAGTTGTCCACAGTCTGTCCTGTTGTTCACACACTTACTGCAGCTCACTTTTTATTTTTATTCTTTGTACTTTGAACTGTTTAAAGATAGCTTTTTATTTTCACCTCAACCAGAAGCCGGGGCATTTTTCTGCTTGAGGAAGGAGTCAGCGGTTCCAGTCGCGAATTAGCTCATCCATGGATTCTTCAAGCAATCACATCAGAGATAGAAGTTATTCAAAATTCATCAAGAGGACATGCTGACAGAGAGAAATGAAGGGGAGAAAAATTAAGTAGCTTTCACAAGGAAGGCACTCTTCTGAACTTGTTCACTGAGCTTATTCTCTTTGACCTCAATATAAACCAGAGATTAGCCGTATTCCTTATAGTTTTTGGTGAAAAGCCAGTGCTTGTTTTGCCTCGGGTAGACTCGAAAGAGGATTGGAAAGGAAACTAGCTTCTCATTCCCTCTGAGAGAGCTTTTGCATATTTCCTCTGGCGAAGAACTTGAAGCGATTAAAAACCGTTCTTTAATTTATTTGGAGCGACTTCAAGTAAAGAAAAAAAAAAAAACATGCGTGTTGGTATTTATCCCTGTAATGGATTTGGACCAGGAGCATCCTGTTTATTTACCTGGATCTAACACATCAAATGTTCCGAGAACACACAGATGATCTCCATTTTTCTCATGCAATGGATGTTCGGAAAAGAGCGAAGGTGAACCAGGCAGGGAGCTGTTTGGGAATTTTGCCACCCGGATCATCTGGAGAGAGATGCAACAGTGGCAAGAGGACGGAGCCAGCAAGGATTAGAGAAGGAGTTTCCCCGCTTGGACGATCCGGTTCTTTATCAGGTTTATACCTTCCACGCCGGTGGCCTTGGCAACGGCGTGTTTCCATGGCAGCAGGGCTGTTTCTAGCGGTGCTGCTGGCCGTGGCTCAGGCTTGGTGTGTCAACGCCATACACGAGAATCTGCTGTGGTTCTCTCAGCTCACGGTAGGAGACACTGCTGGCATTCTAGAAAATGACTCGCTTTGAAAATGAAATGAGGGGAGGCGCATCGTGCGTCGCTGTGAACAGTCGGCAGCACTAAGGGGTTGGGGTGGATTTGGTCAGTAATAAAGTGGACATACAAAGCTGTCACACCTCTCAGCTGGCCAATCACAGTTCCCACCAGGAGTTCCTACCTTCCTATCTTATTTGCTAGCTGACCCATTGGGGCAGCTGTGGCTCACTTACCGGAGTCCTTGTCTTGCTGCTAGAAAGATGTGGGTTCGATTCCAGCATCCTGCCCTGCCACATGTCGGTGAGATGTGGTGTGCTGAGGCCAGATTAGCCATTCAGACACAGGTCTGAATGGTGTTTTCAGCCACACCATTCAGACCTGAATGTTGAATGGTGTGACTGAGTGAAAAATGGGACCACTTTATTTGACGGGTTGTGAATAAGACTGTCATGACACCATCATAAACATGACATAACACCTGTCATAAACATGAGTAACTCTTTATGAATATTTAGGACTGTTGTCATAAAGTGTCATTTGGTAAATAAGGACACTTTTAATACAAAGTTGACATTATTGAAAATGTCTTTGTTATGACAACTTGACATGAACCAAGAAATTGTACTCCATAAATTTGTGATAAAAGTATTACTGATAAAACTTTAGCTTCAATAACATAAAGCTACATAATTTTTTAAGTTTAATCAGCAAATTGTTTATTGAGACCACATCTGTTACTAAGAATAAATCTATTTTACAGACAATAACACTAACAAGGAGCTTATTTTTTATGTCAGTGTTAATGTAATTAGGCTGTTAAGTGACTCCATGACACTTTCAATTTGACTCAGTAAGACTTGATTAAAAACCAGTCCTAATAGTTCTTAGGACTGGTTTTTCTTTGTAATTTCTGTCCAGTAAAACTGTTAATCTATAGATCAATAGACAGGTCTATGTAAAGATATAATCCATGTTTCTGTTCCATATTTGCTGCTAGAATTAGCAGCAAATATTAGCTGAGATGCTGTAATATTTATGTTTTTGTTTTTTTTAAATAATCTTTGCATTGAAAGGATTTGGAAGCATTGGTTTTCCACTGAAAGTTCTGGTTTGGACAGCGAATGCCACGTGGGTGACATTTTATGGATAATAAACTAATGCCCCATTCTGAAGGCAGCACATAAGTGCACCATAAGAAACTGACATAAACACTGAAGAGAAGAAGAGTTATGATTAATATAGTTGCAGTTCTATACATGTTTTAATGTTGCAGAGCTCAGTCTTTATGCAAATACATACAACTTTGAACTGGCATTGGTGTACATCTTGTCATTTTGTGCAAAATTTAACAACTAACATCAGAAAATGGCACAGAACAAGAATATTTTTTCCACTCTGGCTGCTGTTAGGGCTACCGATTTTAACTTGAATGTCCATTCATGGCATTTTTTTATAGACGCCGAAAATGCGTCTACGATTTAAAAAAGATTTTTATTCCCATGACTTTTTTGTTCTCTGGGGGATTATTTTTGATGATAAATACAAAAACAACTGTAAAAATCAAAACATCAACAATAGTGATCATAATATTAATAATAAAATAACATTCAGTGCAAAGCAGCCTACAAATTCTTTGACGGGGGGCAGTGAGGAACCTGAATGATGGATTTAATGTCTTTCTTGCAAAAATCCAAATGTCTGCCAGATGATAAAGCAGGAGCCCTTTTCCCATTTTTCTTTCAGAATTAGGTTATACTTTGGTTCTTCACTTGATTCTTTAGTTTGTTCACCTTCAAAGCCCAGCTGTCCACATTAATCAGAGAAGTGACCAAGAGGTCAACAGTCACTGGATTCTTTTGTTTTACTTTGGAATATCCTAATATGATGACAAAACATTGTATTTCGGGTTCATTTGACTGTTTTTTGTTTCAAGGTGGATTTTAAACCTTAGTAATATTTTAAATTGAAACCCACATGGCTCCAGGCTTTCCCTCTCACATGTACTTACTTAATCTGCTGATAAATTGAAAGGAAAACTAATCTGTTCCTATTACAGACTTTTTATGGTTCTAAAGCTGACATTATTACTGGAAAATACCAGAAACCAGATTGTCGTAATGCTTTGATATATGGTTTCATTTTTTACAGACTGGATTGCAGGAACTCTTGGACTGTTTTTATCTTTAAACAAATGGTAATGCCAGAGAACAGTTTGGCAGACTCCTGCTGAATTATAAAAATGGATTTTAATAAGGAAACAGGCTGCTGTTGTCAGAGGATTTCACTTTTAATCAAACACTGAATGGAAATGTTTCCAAACTAAGTGTAGCAAACCAACAATTGATGTAATATTGTGGCGTGGGACGTCCTCAGTGCCGTCTCCTCTCCTTCTGAAGAGGAACAGTAATCATGCTTGGCGGGCGGTGGGAGATATGGAAGGGATTCTTCTGGGATGTCTGTGTTACCCCTCTGATTGTTACCTCAGAGGGCTGCCAGTATATCAGCCGCTTTGCTCAGGTCCTTCTCGGATCTGTCTTGTCTTGCCAGAAAATCTGTTTTCCACATCATGCAGAACAAAAGAGCTTGGATTTATATTACCACATTCCCCATTTCTGTTTTCAGGAAGTGGAGAGGGAGATCTCCTTCCGGACAGAATGTGGACTGTACTATTCATACTACAAGCAAATGTTGCAGGCTCCATCCATACAGGAAGGTATGCTCACTGTGAAGCACTCAAGTCTTCATCATCATCTGCAGTTCAGCTCATTATTTCCTTACTAAATTCTCTCTTTTATTAATTAGTTATTTACAGCTGTAACAAATTGTAGTTAGAGAAGCACCGGTCCTCTATGAACATATGTATTGGTCCTGATGTCAAAAAAAAAATTCTAGTTTGAGTATTGGTGACAATGTTCCCATCAGATCTATTTGATCTAATTCTATGCTTTGTGCTCTGACTGACATCATGCTTTATTGTTTATTTTATATTACATTTAGAATTCCTAATTGCACTTTCTGAACCATTTGAATGAAGCTTTGTTGCAGTTTATATTTTTCACGTTTGACGAAAGTACGTTAGTCATCTTATTGCTTTTGTCAGTTTCAGTTTTTTTATCATTTATTTTACATCCACTTCTCAGTGCACTGATTAAACACATTAAAGTTGTTTTTACATGTTTGACCAAATTTATGAAGCCATTGGTGTATTTCAATGTGAAGCTTTAAGTTTAGTGTTAGCTGAGATGCTGTAATGTTTATGTTTTTGTTTTTCTAAATAATCTTTGTTTATTCTAATTTTTGGTCTACTAGTTAACACATTGGAGTCTGAGATATATATTCTCTACAAACAGTAAGGACAAAGGAAGGTTATGTAGCCACCTCTAGAGGGCGCTGTTGTCTGGTTGGTTCAGGAGTATATTATTGGTCTGTTTTGGGCATGTTGGGCAATGTGAAGCTGGAATAAAATTTTGTAGATCCTGAAACTAAAGGATGAATAGAAAGCGGTTCAAGAGACATCAAGCTGCTTTAGGGGACACATAGCATCACCCTCTGCTCATCGAAATTGATTATATAAACTATTAAGAGTATCCTAAAACACCTTTTTAATTTTATTTTTATTTTTTAAATTTACAAAAAGCGTCTGAATTGTTGCTAAGTAGCGCAAGAAAATCCACCAATATGACTGAGTTGTCAATAGTAGTTGCTCCTCTAAAAGAGGTGAAATTATCAGTCAGGAGACGTTACGAAGTAGGAGCATACTTTATAAGTGGTGTGTATTTATAAGTATATATTTGTATATCTGCGGTTTAGATACAGAAATTGGTTCTGAGTTTACTTAAAATGTTCTTTTCCTAAACACAGACATAAATGTACTGAATTATAAGTTTACTTGATAACTCTGCACAGTACAGCACATTTAAATACACCAATAGCTCCATAAGCTTGGTCAAAGATGTAAAAAAAACATCCTTCATTGGTTCAGAAAGTGCAAATTGTAAGTCTAAATGTAAATGTGTGTGCGTTTGTGTGTGTGTGTGCATGCGTGTGTGTGTTCTCAGGGCTGTCAGAACTGATCCATGACAACTTGACAGAATCAAAGAGGACCATCAATCTCTTACAGCGGATGAATATCTACCAAGAGGTGTTTCTGAGTGTTCTGTACAGACTGCTGCCCTTACAGGTAACACACCACCCACTCTACTCATTGGTGGCAAAAAGTGACTCTGGGAAAGCTTCTTTTTTCCAATTTGAGCCATAAATTAAAAAAAATAAGTTTGTGGGGAAGTTGTTACATATTTAAAACTGACCCAACTTTTAAACTTTAGCAATTTTCCAAACTGCCCAGTTCCTCTGCTGTCATTGTTGGCCTACCTATCAGTGCCTAATAAGCCATTTTCTTTTGTGTGCGTATGTGTGTGTGGTCCAGGCGTATCTGGAGCCCGTGTATTTCTACATTTACACAGTGTTCTCGCTCCAAGCCGTGTATGTGATCGCTCTGTACCTCACAGCATGGCTCCTGGCTGGTTCCTGGCTGGCTGGTGTACTGACTGGAGTCTGGTACATTCTTAATAGGTGAGTAATAAGAATGTTCTGCATGCTCACTGGAGAGGAGAGAGAATGACTCTGAGTTTCTGTAGAAGTCGTGTTGCACATATCTGATAGAATTCAAACCTTCACCCAGAGTAGAGAAAATGTCAATCATTCTATAAAGTTTGTAGAATTTTTTGCGACAGACAGAGTAACTATTGCATAAATATGTAGTGGATGAAAAAATTATTCACTGTTCTCACATTTTTTAAATAAACATCTGAAAATCACATGAGGTATTTGTGTTTAGACGAGGTCCAGGACTTCACCGTGGTAATTTCAATTTATTAATGACCTAGATTTCAACTCCTTGTTTTTTAATTTTATCATAATTAATGGCATTTTTTTCTGACATAAAAGGCTTGGACCATGACCTGGAGAGGTTTACGTCTATGTCAATGTCGATTAATCAAAATATTTTATTTCAATTAACCACTTTTTTTTAAACAGCCAGCCATTGGCCAGCTCCTGTAATGTCCTATTATGTGACTGGTTTCCCAAAGAAAAGTAATAAAAATGGGAACGTTTGTGGGGATGCAATGTTTGATTATGAAGTATTAAAGCTTTAAATCCTTAAAAAGCTGTTGGACGAAACATGACAACATGTGATTGACTTGGATAATAGCGTATACTTCAGTAAATAAGTCTGTAGATAGAAACTGATATTGACAAAAATGTATTCTGGCAGCTTACGGTATATTATAATAGAAAGACACAGGGAGCCTGTAGATGTAGTTGTCTGACAGAGTAGATATGTTGATGGGTTGTATTACTTTTTATTTTGCTTTGAGCCATTTTTGGAAAAACAAGCATAAAGTTAGAAGAAATTTCAGGATTATTTTGACTTTTTGTGCAGATTGATACTTTGGTTGGATTTTTTTCAGTAAACATTAAAAGCAGATGTTTTTAATAAAATATTTGCTTTTATTTATATTAAATAAAAGCAGCTCTACTCCAGCTCTACTCTAGAGTCGGAGTATAGGTCTCCAACTCTAGGAAAACAACTTAGAGCTGAAAAACAAGCCTGCATAGCTTGGAGCATTTTAGGATGCATCTTCCAGAGTTTTGAAAACTTAACAAATGTTCACACATGATTACTCTAACTCATTTCTCAGGTTGTTTTCTGAGAAATGAGACACACAAACCAAATAAAGATGATTGAAACAATCAGCATTTTCCACCTAAGGGCTGCTCTTCTGCTTCCTTTTTTCAGGGTGGATACCACTCGGGTGGAGTTCACCATCTCCCTCAGGGAGAACTGGTCTTTGCCCTTCTTTGCCCTGCAGGTCACTGCTGTCACTTGCTACCTAAGGCCTCAGCTCAGCGCCTTGCAGCAGGTTCAGCACACACAAACCGAGTCTAGACGAATAATATTTAAGAAAGGTAGAAGCAGAAGCAGCACAGACTAAATAGTGTGTTTTTGTGTGTTTGCTCACCAGAAAGTGATGGCGTGGCTGATATACGTGACCACATGTTGCTTCTGTCTGACGTGGCAGTTCAACCAGTTCATCCTACTAGTTCAAGCTCTCATTGTTTACATCCTGGACATCGTCGACCTCTTGACGACAACGCAGGTACGCAGGACACAGTTGCTGTGGCACCCAGCATAACACCAACTGATATCATCATTCCATCCATCCATCCATTCCACCCATCCAACCAACCAACCAACCAACCAACCAACCAACCAACCAACCAACCAACCAACCAACCCAACCAACCAACCAACCAACCAACCAACCAACCAACCAACCAACCAACCAACCAACCAACCAACCAACCCAACCAACCAACCAACCATTCCTCAAGTCTCACACTTCACTGATTCCATAGTCAGTTACAGAAGTTAAATAAGACAAACAGTCCCATTGATCAGTATCATATCAAAACAACGATGTGTTTGCAGTAACAAGTGACAAGCAACATAAAGTTCACAAAAAAAAAACCCTTTAAGAAAATTTTAAAATTGTTTTGTTGCATTGAACAGCAGTGATGGGTTTCAGTGAGACTTCTTCCATGTGTTTCTGGGTTGTCTGTATTCAGGCCACTACGCTGATGTGTTAACATCTGTAATTGGCACCAAGTGCACACTCTTCCAAGTGAGATGGTTCAACACTCACACTTCACCTCCATTTTTGCTTAAAAACTTAATCTGAATATGGAGTGAAACTGATTTGAGCACAAATATCTGTGAGTGAACGATCATTTGTGACGTGTGCATTTAAATCTTCACGAATCTGCTGAACCCGCACTCGACTCTGATGAACTCGTGCTCCACCTCGTCTGTCACTCCACTCTGGTTCTTCTGTTCCTCAGATACGGAGTGCCTGGAGGGCCAAAAAACACATTTAACGTGTCCTTCACATGCAAAGTATGTTTCTAATGTGCAATAAAGAGTGTTCACAACTTAAACTCTATGTAAATGAACCACATCTCTAGCCAACCACAGATGGTTGGTTTTGGCTGATTAAAGTAATCGTTGGATGGTAAAGAAGCAATCACGATGAAAATCAAAATACTGCACCAAGAAGCATCAAAGACAAAACAAAATGTAAAGATTTAGGAAAAACAAAAGTATAACTCAATTGAATTTTGTATCCTAAGAATATGTAGTGAAGCATAAAAATATGTTTATGCATTTCAGAGCCAATATGTAATATTTAGCATTTTTACATTGACTTTTACAGATAGGCCAAGTCAAAGTAGCTCAAATGCCACAATCCCTGATCAGTCAACTCATTTAGCATTATGCATGTTATAACATATATGGTGAGTGTTCTAAATTCACACTCCATGGTGACGCGTCAATATTAGTATATTATTAGTTGTCTGCTGCTGTCCTGTGCAATCTGATCCATATGTCTTCTGAAGATGTTCTGAGGGAAGCCGGGTGTGTTCGTTCCTCACACCGACTCCAGGATAGAAGCCAGTCCAGGTCTGGCTGAGGTTCCATAAGCATTCCCATGGAGGTTTTCCAGGCCTTACATTTCCCCAATAAAATCCGTCCTCATTTACATTTCACTGTAAGAGCAGTTTGGCAGCTGTGTTGACATGTGTAGCAATCCCTAAATTATTCATAGCCAAGCCAAACTTTGATTTCCACTTGTTATTTTTTCATTGGACCAGTAGCTCTCTTTTGACCTGGAATGATGCAAACCTTGACAAAAAAAGGAAAGACAGTGGATGTAAATGTGGAGTGGCATGAACTGAAAACTGAATCCTCCATGTGATTGTGAAACCGCATCATGATTGTTAGCAGTGCGTGGCTCATTCCCAGCTGTGTTTTGCCCAGGTGACCACCCTATACCTGATTCAGGTGAGCAGTCTGCTGAGCATTTGGCTGCTGCAGTTCTGTAACTCCATGATCCTGGGATCGCTGGTGCTCAGCTTCATTGTTGCAGCGCTCTTCATCAGACACTGCCAGGTTAGTACATGTGTGAATCTACTCTGGCTGTCAGGATGATTGAATTAATGATGAGTTAAATAGTTAATTAGATCCTGATGTTTGTTTTTCTTTGCATATGCTAATGAACAAAAGCAGTTTAAGTTTTCATCACAACCAGAAAGCAAAACACTGCAACACTTCTCAGCTGAGTTTCTGACTCCTCTCAGATTGGATTTTGTGGAATTTCCTTCCTTCTCGGTTATTATTCAGTGACATGCATACATACCGAGTAAAGCTAATGTGCTCTCTGCCTCTATATACACAGTTGTACTGCTCACTGTAGCATAAACAGGATTGTTTTGCAAACCTTCATAAGGATTTAGCATCATTCGTGCTGAACGACCGGAGATGTCGACTTGAGTTGCTCTTAAGTTACAAAAGTTAAATGTTGAGATGCACCCATTGGAGTTTTCTGGCTGATCACCGAGCTTTAAAAAGCCTGAGATGCAGATACAGATATTGTTTGTCTGAAATGTTGCTGAATATATCTACAGTGCGGTGACTGTTGTTTACCGCAGATGTGCAGATGTGACTTGATGGGCGGGTCTGCCAGTCAGGGAACATGTTACTCAAAGTGTTTGGTTCACTTGACACAAAGCAGATTAATAGCATGTTGAATGTTTTCATCCTTAAGTGAAATTATTTGTTTTATATCTGCTGCTGTTCATTTTATGTGTTTTTGTGCCCAAACTACAAAGAAAATGTTTTTGCTGTAGCAATGAATTTAGAAGAACAAGATATCTAGAGGAATGTGTAAGAGCAGGTTTAGAAGTGATGTGGCCTGCTGTGGGGGCTGATTCTAACATACATGAACTATAGAAGTGTTTTATATTCCTCAACCTGTTGTTTTAAAAGGATCCAAGCCTTAATTAGGAGTCAAGAGGTCAGAACTCCTCAGGCTCCCAGGCATGGTGAAGGGAGCAACATTCCCCTTGGGCTGACTTGCGGGTCTAATTGCTGCCATTAGCAGTTCCCTGGTTAACCCTAGGTGGATTTATAATAAATGCCATATTTTCTGACAAATATAAAACATGTGAGGAGTGTAATTTAAAGCCTGCGTAAAAACTGAAGGCTTTATTATCTGGTCAATTAGGTTTGAAATCAACACCATGTGTTTCGTCTTGCAGCCTGATCTGAAGACTGGAGGCCTGCTGGTTCGTCTGGCCAAAGTTCTCCTCCACAGCATCCTTGTTCTCCTGCTTACCTTCATCATCAACTCCTTGACTAAGGTGCTCGTCTTCCTCTGCCTCCCCTCGTGTCCCTCCCCTCTGTTGTCTTTCCGTTCTCTTTCCCCTCCTCTCATCCTCTCCTCAGACCTTCAGAGCAATGATGCAACATTATCCGCCTGGTTTCTGCTCCTGTTTACGCTCCTGAAGGCTGATCTCGGCCCAGTCGTGATGACCTTATCTGTGCTTATGTTTACAGAAAGCGCTTCAGCTCAGATCAGACGAGCACATTTTCAAATTCATCAAGTCAAAGTTTGCCTTGGGGCCAACGAGGTATGAACACATAAAACACACAAACCTCAATCCAATGCTTGGTTTTTTGCGGACACCTGTTCTCTGAAATCCTATTTGACTCGCATAGGCTGAGAGAATATATACAGTCAGTGTGCTGTGGGCTTGTTACAAAACATCCACTTGATCTAGAGTGACTACATTATTCACTAAGCACTAGTGTCATAGCACCTGCAGCGTTAATGTGTGTGAATAATAGATCGCGGGGTAAAGCCACTAGACCTCTCATCGATCAGTATGTTGCCGTGTCGGGACGGCTGCTCCGGGCCAGCAAATAACTCGGCTCTCAATGCGATGCTGCACAACTGGCCCTTCAATTATTCAGGAGATTGTAGAAAATGCGAGGCTCACTCCGTGCTCTGCTCCACCCTCAGCTGCTCTCTCTCTCTCTGCTTCTCTCAGACTTCTTTCTGCTCTCCCACTGTTTTGTTCTCCTGTCCTTTCAGTCCTGCTTTGCATTTGTGGTAGCACAGCTCTCAGTTTGAGGTACTTTTCCAAGCCTTTATTTATCTTGGTACTTTCTTTCAGAGTAGAGTATTCTGAAAGAAAAAGCTGACAGTCATTTTAAAGATGAAATACAGCATCAATACTTAGACCCAAAACCAATCAGATTTGTTTTAGCATCTGGTCCTATGGAAAATGGAGTCAGATTGTGTAGACAGCAATTAGAATGCATCAAAGTCAAGGTGACTTGACTTTGATGCAAGTCACCTTGACTTGCATCAAAGTCAAGGTGACTTTGATGCAAGTCACCTTGACTTGCATCAAAGACTTGCTGGCGACTGTGACTGTCTGACCAAGACAAACCTCTTATTTTGAAGCTAGAGCAAAATGACAGAATTATAATGAGTGAGGCAGAAAGTGAGCCAAATAAAATTGAAATATTTTATTTGCAAAAAAAATTAGCGTACTTACCCACGGTAGGACCGTAAAGTAATCAAATGAAAACATGTTGAACCCCAGATGTATTTTATGCTTGGTGAGAAATGCAATGCTAACACCACTTAGCTTTGTCAGATGTGTTACTCTGCTGGTGCAAACTTGTTCACTCAGAGAGATAAACTCTTCTTGCATTCATATCCGCAGAGTTTATGCACTTTAAGTCAAATGTATAGCCAATCATACATTTTGTTGACAACATCAGGTAATATCACCTCTCCTGCAGGGACTTTGATGCGAGTCTGTATCTGTGTGAGGAGGCCTTTGGGCTGCTGCCACTGGACACTCTAGAGCGCCTGGCAGGCACCCTGCTGCTGTACCCATACGTCCCCACTGTCCTGCTGCTCAGTGGCATGCTGGCAGTGGCAGTGCTGCACAACCTTAGGTACGTGATGCTCAGCGGGAGAAGTTTCAACATGAAAACAAGTTAATTTTGATTGTCTTCAATGGCTGACTGAGCTGGATAAACTGAACTATACTGAACCTCATATGGGACTATTGAGCCTCCAATGGTAACAATTCATGCAGTATAGTTCTTAAATTTGAAGCATCTTGGAACACAGAAAGTCTCACTCACAGATCCGCACACCTAACACACATTGTTAGGTGTGTGGACCGTCTTACAATGTGGCCATGATCAGAAACTTGTGCTGAATAATACATCAGTTTTTTACTACCTGAATATGATCTGGTAACCCATTCTCTCTGTATGATAATCTGTGAAACAGTTCTGATTTTGTCTCTCTGGGCCAAAGAATATTTTCTGTTGTAAAAGGTTGCTTCAGTGGCTTCTCGTTATTAATTATTCTGACGATTAATCGAGTAATTGAATTTAAAAAAATTGTCCCGTTCTATTATAGTTGCTTAAACTAATAAAAGAAAACTAATATAAACATCAGTAATAGAGCACTTGAATAATCAATTAGATTAATCAGAGAAGAATAATCTACGTATTAGGAATAGGTACTGCCCCCTGGTAAGCAAAAACAGAAAATTTGGTGAAGAGGTTAATCAGACTGTCACAAATACAATGGGTTAAACTGTTTCCTGCTGAGGAGATACAACATCCAAGATGATCTAATGTGGCAACTCCGTTTTCCAAATCAGTGAATAAGTTTGGCTTCTCATGTAAACATCTATCAATCACCAATCTCCCAAAATGAAGGAAATTGAAGCCGATTTTTCGGTTCACTCCAATTGTTGATGCATTCAAGAGGTGAGCGATATGGACTTGGAATGTACTGCAATATTTTCTGGTACTATTGTGATAAACTATAAAAATGACAATGAAAAACTATGGTAACACTTTATTTGAAGGGGTGTACATAAGACTGATATGACACTGTCATAAATATGATATAACACCTCTTATGAACATGAAAGAGGCTTTATGAATATTTATGACTGTTGTCATGAAATGCCATTTGGTAAAAATGGCACTTTAACTGCTTTAAAAGTTGCTTTAAAAGTGCCAACTTTGCATTAACATGTCATCATTTACCAAATAAGGCAAAGTTGAGATTTTTAATGGACTTTTACTGCAACTTTTAAAGCAACTTTACACTAAAACTACTTTTTACTGAATGCCACTTCATAACAGTCAGAAATATTCATAAAGATTCCTTCATATTCATGACAAGTGTTATGTCATATTTATGTTCGAGTCATATCAGTCTTATGCACGCCCCTTCAAATAAAATGTTGCCAGGACTATTTATTGCTTATTTTTTAGGCAGCTGTATGGCTGTGAATGCATAGCACAGCATATATAGTGGCTCAAGCACAATTATTGTTCTTGAAAAAGATTCCCAGTTGAAATAGGCTTATTCAGGTCTCCATATTCTTAAAGAAGTGAACTGCATGTAATAACTGCATTGAGTCAAATTTTAGGATTTACTAAAATTCTAAAATTTTAGCAAATTTTAGTGGATTGTGCCATGAGACAATCTACTAGTTGAGACAATCTACTGATTGTCTCATGGGACAATCAGTGGAGAAGATAATAAAAATAACATTTCCGTCAAGCTTTTTGTTCATATTATTAATTGAAATTTATCGAGAATAAATGATAAATTCTTATGATAAGAAATTTTTCACAATAAATGATAATTGATAAATCCTCATCTGTAAAGCATACCTTTGTGCCATTGTTTTTACTGGTAACACTGGTAAAAGAAGTTATGTTTCTAATTAATGATTCAGACACCACTTTGTAAAATAAAAAAAGACATACAGCGTGATAGATGAGATGAGGGTTTTTGTTTATAGAAGGAAAACCGAAATCAGAGATCGCCATGTTGTTCTCTACATGTCCCTCCATGCTCTGAAAAAGCAGCATCATCCACCAGCTGCCTCTCCCAGCTTCATTTCCCTGTGGTGCAAGGTGATAGGCTGCTCTCAACTAATCAAATTAGCATTTCAACTCGCCCTGCGCCGCTGGACGGCTGGAATACTAACCTCACAGAACAAAGGGCTATTTGCCAATTCAGGAATTAATTTAATCCAGTATAGCCAACCTCACACAGTCAGGGGAGCCGGATTTGATTTATATTCAAATGGAAGCCAATGTCCGTCTGATTCAGTGCAGGAGGCCACATCGTGGGAGTAATATCATCGCCTTCGGGGCCTCTCTCTGTTTGTATGCACGTTGACTCCTGCAGACAGAAACGGCCGTGGGTGTGCATCGTTACATGTCCACTTGTGTGCAAGCTGCTAATGAAATCTGAACAAGAGCAACTGAAATCCGAATAATCAGAACAATATCAATTCCGCCCACCTACCGTCCGTCCTGCCTCTCCTCTCTAGCGTCTGGATGTGATGTTTTATGTATTTACCGTTGGCTTTTGGTAACGTGCTTCTTTTCTGCTTTAATGTCTGGTTTTTGTTTCCCATTAGGTTGGGGGAAGAGAAGAGAGCAGCTGCAAGGGAACAGGTGGAGGCTTTCCGGCCAGATGTGGCCTACAACCTGCTGCACTCTGTGCTCTACGGCCTCCTGGCTTTCAGCACCATGAGGTAAACTCTGAATTGCTGAGGCAGCAGAACACGTATACGGTCATACTTCCAGGCATAGGCACTGACTCTCGAGCACCAGTCATGCAAGCGTGGCTAGCACCACTGATATATACCACTGTGCCTAGTAGCCACTAAAGCTAGCCGCAGGCACTTTTACTAGGGGTGGAGACATATCCACAAATCCATAGTTCCGATGGAGGATGAGCAGGAATCTGTCACACAAATGTTTATAATGTTCTTTATTAGACTTAGACTTCTACTTTATTATGAAAACTGTATTATTCAGTTTTCATAAAACTTGGCTTAAAATAAAGCTGTGAAAATTATTGTTTTGATATGCAAACTATGTATCAATCCTAGATATAACTTATAAACTCTTTGGTTATTATCAGTTCTTTCAAGGACTGAACAAATTTATGTTTTAATCTAGACAATTAATTTATTTTTACATAATTACCACAGCAAGAAACAGTATGTTAAATACCTTATGAAAAAAATTATCTTACTTGATGACTATTATGAATATTTGTAATGTCTTCAAGCAAATGAGGAAGTTAGAGCAGTTTTTATTGTTTGTTGAATTTTTAGAAATTTCGCCACAGCAAAGGAAAAATAGCACTAAAAACAGGTGAAGAATAGCTCAAGACCACAGGCACACTATCACCTGTGGTCTAGTTCTTCATAAATAGCTAAGACAGAGCAGAGATTAAGTTCAAGTGTATCAGGAACATCAACATTTTTCACACAAACTGAAGATTCAGTTCATTACGGTTCCATATTTTCAAGCTTAATGTTTATTTTGCAGTTATTAGTATGCAGTTGCCTGGACAAGAGGTGGTTGATTAGCTAGTGACTGGCCACCAGCAGAAACATAAATGTGTTCCTCAGTCTCGCTCTCACACAGACACGCTTCAAGTCTTATTTTTATTTCATAACTTAATCAGTCTTAGTCATGCACAAGTACCTCTTCAGTCTATTTTACTAAGTCAGTTAATTGGTTCCTTCAGAAGCCTTGATCACCTCTAAGTACTTTCAGTTTGTGCTGTTTTTTGGGGGGTTTTTATGGTAAGTAAAGACACAGCAAAACTAAAGATCCTCAAGGATAGTTATGTTTAATGTCTGTGCTCTGTGTCCATTAATATTAGATTTGATACACAACAGTTAAGAGAGGCAGCAGCAACTGTTCACCCTCCTTCACTTTTTTCTCATTATGTTGCATTGCAGATCTAAAGATTTTCTGTAAAAAATACAACACAAAATTGAATAACATACTGAAAAAAGTGAAAACATGATGTAAGCATTCTCCTACGACTCAACTGGAGTCCCACTGTGGTGGTTTTATTTTATATTAATGGGTTTTGGGTGTGTTGCCTGACTCAGGTGTCCCAGATTACAGTGCATCTCTAGGCCTCACAAAGAAGGTCACAAGCGGAAAAGCTTTGTGTTCTCCTTGTGTCAGAAATGGAAGAAGTTTGCAAGCACCAGGACCCTCCCTATGTCTGGCTCCTTAACCAAACTAAGCAAGCAGGGACAAATATGGCCAGGAACCTAACAGTCACTAAGGCGAAGCACCAGTGCTCAGTTGTGAGGTGGGAGCAGCATCCAGAAGGTCATGTATTGCTAATGCATATCACCTGTCAGGCCTTTCTGATGCAATGGCCAAGGGAATGGCACTTGTGTCACTGAAAGGCACATGAAGGTTTGCTTCAGTTTTGCCAGAAAAACACCTTACTGATTATTATACCAATCTGAAATTAAATGGAACTCTATGGAGTGACATTAAAGCAATGTGTTTGGTAGGCATTTCTCATCTTAGACGCCTTCAGTAGAAACAGCCTTAGACTGTTTCTACTGTAGAACATGGTGGTGAAAGCATTATGCTTTAGGGATGGTTTTGGGGGAGACAAGCCCTTTTTCACAGTGACCTAGCAACACAACTGAACTCTATTCAGTTTGGGTAGTTTTCCATTTCAATTCTTCATCATACAGTTGTGCGGTCGCTGAGTCTGAAAATTTGTGCAAAGTGATCTTTTCATATTCTGTTAAACTTTTTTATCCTTTATTTTACCAGGATAAAAACTCATTGACATTGAAAAGCTCTTTGTCAAGAAAGTCCTGGCCAAGAGGCAGCAATAAGCACAACACAAAAACCTACACAGATAAAAGAAACATAGTGAGAAGCATAGTGAATGAAAGCCTTCTTACTCGTTTTTTTCTGAACGGGATAGAAAGAATCAACCATCCCATAGTATTTCTGTTGTGCTAGGTTTGAAGCCGTACATGATACAAGCATAATTATTTGGGTCTTTTGTCAGACTGTTGTCAGTTTTTACAAATGGTGGCTCAGATTATTGTAAAACGAGTCTCTTTTGTGACGCAAACAGTGGCTCCACCCTTTACCCAATCAGTGACCGCTGGTCTTCTGACATTGTATTTTTAATTCAACTCCACATGCTTGGAAGCCCAGCGAAGCAAGTCCTAGAACAGTGGCTGGTACCGTGTGGCCATTACCAGAGAAAAACCCTTATAATTGAGGAGAAAAGGGCCATAGTTTGCATAAAGTGTGGGATCCCAGCCAATTGTAGAGAAACTAACCTGAGCAATGATCCAATGCACACAGCCAAGATAACAAAGGAGTGTCTTTAGCAATGGTTTGTGAAAGTTCATGAGTGGCCCATGCAGAGCCCAATTCAGTGCAATTGAACCTCTCAGCCAATTCTGCCAGCCAACAAGACTGAGATAAATAGTCTCTGCAGAGAAGAATAAAGAAAATCCCAAAGCTGATGTTCCAAGCTTGTCAAGACAAGGTGACTTGAGTCTGAAATTGCTGCCAAAGGAGCATTAACAAAATATTAAGTCTTGGGTGTGAACACTTTTGCTCATATCATGTTTAAGAATTTCTGTTTGTGTTACAAAAATGTCTGAACATTTTTTTTCCTTTGTTATTAAGAGCTGTTTCATGAAGACTCAGCTCAGGTCTTCCTAAAACCTGAGCTTTTTTATGAAGGCCTGAGCTGAAAATTGAAACACAAGTGCTGGTGGGAGTTCAGGTTTTTTCTCTTAAAAAGGGTTTTAGGTAAATATTACACAATACTGTCCAGTGTTAAACACACCAAATTTTTGTTCCTATTTAGATGTTCCTATTTTGTGTTTTTTACACACTTCTACAGTGGCAGTAGTTGTATGTTAGGGTGTGATTTAAATGACACTTTCTCCAAGTTTTATTTTACGTTCAGAATCAAAGAAAACAGAAAAGCTGGTCATTGGTCCTCATCCCCATATTTTGTGTTCTACAACCAATGAGAGATGATTGTTCACAACCTTCACTGTGAGGCTGACATCTGAGCCAGCAATTAGTCTATGAGGAATCTGAGCTTCTGATACAGAAGAAGTACCTTCAGATTCTTTGTTAATTAGATCATGAAAATGTAACAAAATGCCAAGGTATGTGTATACTTGTCTTTGCATTTGTTGGACTGTAATACTTATGAGATCGAGTGATAAGTTTTGTGTTTTCATCATCATTTTTTTAGTTATGTGAAAGCCTGAAAGCAGAGGAAACTTATTATTTTTTGTAATTATTTAAAAAATATGCTCTGATCAGTTTTACTCGCCACCTGGAGCTGTCATGTTTCTGCTTAGCACCGCAATTACTTTTCTCTTTCATCCGCTTTATTTTAGGTTGAACTAAGTCTAGATATTAAATGATAAGCCATTTTTTAATGCACACCAAAAGCACTCTGCTGTCAAACAGACAGTGTCTGTCAAAAGCTCTTTTAAAGTGCCAGGTTTTGTGATGTAAAAATATGAAACCATGATGAATCATTTTAAAACTTTTTGCAGCTTTGATGTGACAATGATGTTCAGTCCAACTACAAAACAAACGTTAGGAACAGAAATGTGAATACTGAAACAGATCCAATCACCTGAGTGTATATGCATTCTTTAATCTACTTGCTAAATCATATTTTGATTGTCTGCAGTTGTGTTGGATGAAGAACTGCCATCGACTATAGCTAATTAGCAGTGATGTTTGGACAATTGTCTGTCAATTTTGCTCATTTGCTTCATTTAATTAAAGACAGTTTGCAGAAAGAGTCCAATTTAATTTTACAAATGCAAAAGCTGGAAAAGAGCAAAAATATTATTATTGATGATAATGAATAATATCTTTACAATTATTGTCATATCATTATCATGTCAATGATAATGACAAGCTTATGTGGTTCTGTACATCAAATTTTAGTTTAAAAAAGATTTGGTACTGAATTCTAAAAAATTGTAATTTAAAACCACTTTATGAACTTTACTATAAAATCGTTCCAGGGATGTTTAATCACAATAAGGGATTTTGCATTCAGAGGTTTCTTATCAGTGCACTTACAAAATAAGATTCCAGTTTTGAGAAGAGTAAAAATCTTGTAGCTGTGGAAAAAAGCAGTGTGTTGTGATGAGATTTACAGTCTTCCACTTTGGGTCAGCACCAACTAAAATTCACCTTCTGCTTCTTTCAATGTGGTCACCAAGTTGAGCAGGTCACACTGGAAGAATGAAGCTGCTTTGATGAGGAGCTGTTTGTGCTTTCCTCCTCTGTTCCACCTTTAGAGGAGGAGCCAATGTTAAGGTTTGAACATCGACAATGATGTTCAAAACTTTATTTTTGTGTGCCTTCATCAGGCACAAAAACTGTTGCCCAAAAGTTAATCCACCGAAAAACATCAGCAACTCAAGACACCACAGAGACTGAAGTCGAGGATGCTTCAATTACTGAAAAATCTAGTGAAAGCAAAAAGTTTATAAAACAGATTCCTGTTGCAGTCCTAGCTTCTGACTTAGTTCTCAGAGAACTAAGTCAGCTTTTAACACGATGCAAGTTGTATTTGGAGAAAAGCGCCACGTCTGATGTCAGCACTTTCTCAGACATGCTGATTAAGAACGAAAGGCCAAAAGAGCAGAAAGCAGTGTCTGTCAGACAGCTGCTTTGCATTAAACAGACTTATTTCTGCACCCCTTTCAGCTTCATCCTCGACATACCAGTGAATTTCTGTCCCATGATATCTCACCTTGTTCACTCTCCTGTTTCATCATTCCCTTTGCTTCAAAGGCTGCTGCCGAAAAATAAGATCTGGACCAACATTTTTATTTTTTTTTTGCTACTAACTTTAAGTTCCCCATTTTCAACACCAGTACCTAGCTTCTGTTGCTAAAGAGCTTGGAGTTCAAATTTCCATGCTACGTTTTTATTTTTCTCTCCATGATGGGACCTCGGCCTGTTTTTCTGTTTTCAGATCAGAAACTTGACTCCACTCGTTTATTTTCCCACAGAATGAAATACATTTGGACAGGCCACATGTGTGCGGTCGCGGCGTATGGTGTGTGTGGGACAGACCTGTGGACTCTGCTTCTCAAAGCTCTCCGCTGCAACTCTAAAGTTCTGGTACAAACCTCTCTTTCATGTCTAAGTCTAGTTTGCTCTGTATATTTTTATTTTTCATTTTGATTAAGTATTTCCCAGTTTCATATTTCTTTAATTTTCCAGTAAATGGGACCTCCTTGATCAGATTGATTTGTATAAATGAATGTGCTCCTATGTGAAAGTTTTAAATGATTTGTTGGTTTAATGTGAGTGTGACTCATACTGCTGCCCTTTGCGCCTCACCACTAGGTGTCAGTGTGGTCCTAACATGACCACAGCAGGAATTAAATTATTGATAGTTGGGAAACAAAGCTGCTCTGTCTCTAATCCTTGTCTTATGTTGTCTTACATGTTTTCCAAGAGACACCTACATTTCTGACTCTTCACATTTTGTACATCTAACTTTACACCTCAGTATTTTTTGTTATCCTCTCTGTTTGCAGCTGCGGTTTATCAGATATGCAGTTCCAGTGCTGATGATTGGCTGGCTGTATTATAAGGTAGGCTGTTTTCTGCTGCTTTATGATCGTTGTCATATTGGCAGACCCATCTCTAATCCTTGATCAGTTTCAACAGACCCTTACTGTGAGCAAGGCTGAATCACCTGAAGGAAGAAATAAAAAGCCTAACTTCATAAGACATTTAAACTTTTAGCAATGTAAAGTGCCTTACTTTGAAGACGAGAATAAGTTAGATAAATTGCTGAAGCTAAAGTGTAGTAAATGTGTTGTGATTCCCATGTTTCTTTAGGATTACCTACTGTCTATGTGTAGTATAAAGTCAGAGAGGGTTTTCTGCCACTGCCTGACTACTTGTCTGTAACTGCAGGTTGAAAATTAGAAGAAGTTCGCTTTTGCTCTCCGTTCCTAAACATTACCAGCTTATGGGAATCCTCCCCTATCCTGCTGTATCAGTCAGTGGTTTGGTTGATCTTTAGGAATATGCCTCTGCGACGGAGGCCTAAAAGCTTTGAGATTTTTACTTTTTTCTCTTAATATTTCCTTCAGAGTATAGTCAACACAGGCAGAGATCATTCCTTTCAAAGGTTTGACAACACTCGACATGGTCTCTCCACAAAGCACAGCTCCTATTTTAGGAGTCTGTTTCTAAAAGGGGCAATTTTTTGTGTTTGCCAGGCTCATAGTGCCATTTTATGCCACAATATAATGTATGTTATATAAAGATAATGTATATATTAAATATGACATAAATAAAATTTGACTTTGTAATTTAGCTCCTTGAAATTGTGCCTCTTTCTCTAAAATCTCCTGCTCTTTCTGAAACTCCAACTTCAGGAAGTTATCCTCTTTTGACGCTTTAACATGTTTACCATTTTTTGAGAAGTAACTCATATAATGAGCTCCACTCATATAATGAGCTCCACAGCTGCAAACATCTGGTGCAGTCCCACCAGATGTTTGCTAATTGCTACCGGCTAGTCTGAAGAATTTGGGTGGTGGAGTCATGGGAGAGGGCTACTCTGTGAGGTGGAAGCTTGGAAATTGCCACTTTGAGGAGGAGCTCTTGAAGGGAAGCCAACCAGGCATTTTGTACAGCTAAATGGTTGCCATGGAGATTAAAGGATTTCTCAACCACGCATGAAAGAATCAAGGCAACGTTTCAAGTATGTTTTTGATGAGGGAGAAACATTATAACATGATGTAAATCTCAAAAAAGTGGATTTTACATAATGTTGCATCTTCAACTTATGATCACTCCAGTCAGCTAACTTAATCCTTGCTTGTCCTGCTCTCCTTCAAAGAGCCAGGAGGGTCCTTAGTGTAACTTATTGGGGATTGACCCATCCAGGCGGACGGCCATGGTCAGTGTGTCATTTTCCGGAATGGACAGATTGCTAGTCCGTAATGTGTGAAGGAGAAGTCATGCTCTCCTTAGTTCTCCTTTCACTGTGGATATTGTTAGGATACACCCATGCAACACTTCCATCTTTAGAGATTTGGTTTATGATGTTCACAAATAACCAAATTCTATGATATTCTATGTTTTTATGCAATATGCTGTAATTCAGAGATCATATAAATCTCTCTATGAAGATTTGAAGGCCTCTATGAAGGCTGTCTTTTTCAGAGGATAATGTCCCAACGTTGGCGTTGAGCGTACATTGAGGGTGATGTGAGAGCATATTTCTGCGAACAAAGATAAATGTAGATCTGTGTGTGTTTACATCTCACATACTTTCGTTACATTTGGCTGTGTGACTGCACTGTAACTTGATAAAACCAATGTAATGGACCACATAATCACAGACAGGTCTTTTTCATCCAGTCAAAGTGACAACCAATCACAACCAGGAAATCAAAATCTCACATCAAACTGCAGACATTATTGAACAAAATGGTGAATTTAAGAAAACACAAGAAAACGTAATATTATACAAACCTAGGTTTAGAACCCTAACAATATTATTAAGGCATACAAATAGTCAATATTGTCCATTTATATAACATTCCATTGTATTTATTTTGCTTTTAAGTGTGACCAGCATTACCTAGCTTGTTTTAAGATCCACAGTTTGATTACTTAATTAAGATTTAACCAAAGTGTAAAAAGTAATGTTTTTTTTAATTTTCTTTGTAAGCTTTGGTGTTTTTTTACAACTCTATAGTTGGTGTTGAAGTATTTTCAATAATGTCATCCGGTTACACATAGTTACCGAGTCATATTTTTAAATTTCCTGTCAACTTTAACCTTTTTTTATGCATAAACCTGGTGAGGAGCTGGTGCACTGCACTAACACCCTGATATTAGCAGATATAAAAACATAAAATGTATAACGAGCTGATATAACAGCTGTATTTTAAAGCTTTACTGTTTGGGATTTAATTGCTGGTGCCATTAACTTTTTGAGGATATTCTAGTCAGTTGAGATGCATCTCTTTCAAACAGTGTAGTTGTAAGTGTGAATAGGTTTGTTGTACTTTGTGTCTTAATGAAGCTAAACCCATGGCTTTCCATCTCTCCTCCTTCTCTCCCTCTGCAGTTCTGGCCTAAGCTGATGGAGGAGCTATCAGAGCTGAGGGAGTTCTATGATCCAGACACAGTGGAGCTGATGACCTGGATTAGGTACTTACACACATGCTCACACATACACCCAAATTTACAGATCTGGAGCACCCATTTTATTGATGCAAATTTGATTAGCTTGTTTCGCTAGATCAAGCTTCGCTTCGCCTGATGTCCTTGATTAGTGTGCGTGTTCATGTGTGTGCATGTGTGTGAGTGTGTGAGCCGGTTTGTGGGGGAGTCTGGCTGACGAGTGATGAGAGACGATGGGTCGCCATGAATAAGACATAGGAGTGCTGGAAGGAGCCCAGCTGCTGGAGAAGCTCTAACCCACCTCAGGGTCTCCGGGGCTCTGGGCTTGAAGAAGATCAGCCTGATGGGAGCAGAAGCTGTGCTCTGATTTGGAACAGCCCCATGCTGTTGCTCTGTATTTTGGAGCTCCAACTCTTACACCGTGTTCCTAATTATTATGCAAGTGACATTTTCTCAGACTTTCTTAAATGGTCAATGCAAATGATGAGATAATCTTCAGTATAATTTTCAAGTCATGAACTATTACAGTATCCATCAAATTTATCAGTAACACAGTGGTATTCCTTGCAGCATAAGATGGTGCATTGTCATGCATGAAGATGATTTTGCTATGGATGGTACCGCTTTTCTTATTGAACCATGAAAGAAGGTGATTAGTCAGAAAGTCCATATACTTGTCCATATACTTAGCTTTTAAAATTGTTGGTTGATTTTCAAAGCCTGAGAGACCCCACACATATCAAATGTCAGGAAATCTTGCAAAAACTCTCAAGATCAATTGTGAGTTAAGAGTAACCAAATATGGCACACAATATAGTGTAGCCTCTGTCTCGATTTTGCTGTCTCATTACAAAAATCAAATCCAATCATTACACCTTCAACAGAGTCCATGCATCCAGGAAGCAACTGTTTCTCAATCGCCATGGATTTGGACCCTCGGCATGAAGCCAAGCCTTGAACCGGAGGCTACTTTTTACCAAATTACTTCTGCTGCAGTGCTAAAAACTGTGGGTATTAATGCATATTGGGTTATAGTCTGTGGTGTTAAAATGGAAAATTGGTTAGCAGTTGTTTTTTTTTAGCACCCAAAGGGTGTTGGGTTGAAGGTCTGCAGATTAATAACACAAAGTTTTAATGGACATCTCTATTGCTTACTGTTCTGCTAGATGGATTGATGAGGATTCTCGTTGAACTGGTGCTGTGGAGAGTAGTAAGAAGTACTTATTGGGTATGTGGGTATGGATTATCCACAGGTCAGAAACTTGTCAGTGCTGCTGAAAACATGAACTGAGAACAGAAACAAACTGATTCATTCACAGCTTGACTTTGGCAAGCCGTAGGAAAAGATGAAACATCTGAACTTAAAATCGGATTTCTTACTAGTTGTGAATGTCTGTTGACTATTTTCGATGATGTATCAAAATCTTCTGAGCTTGAAAAGGTAAGTTTTACTCCTGTTTCAAATTTGGACATTATTGAACTGAGAAAAATAATTTAGCAGACGTCTGTCTATGAAACCTCTTTTTTTCAGTCAATTTAATTTGGGTCATATTGTTGGAGATGGCGGCAGGGCAGGGCCCTGAATTATTAAGCTGCTCCTAATCATATACCTCCCCAGTGAGCATGTTATTTAAAAGAAACCACACGCTCCTTCGGCTCTCAGGTTTTTTAAACCAGGACATAATAAAAATAAAATAAAACATCTGGTCCATGTAAGACTTGAATTGGGTTGAAATATGGACTCAGATGAACAACTATTCTGTTCATGACACTTTTAATTATTCATTTAACAAAAAACAGGCCAAAATGCAAATCCACATCTTGAATTCCCTCGTTGCTTTCATAAGAATATGGTCCACCGGACAGTCGGTGCTCTTCCAAACCCGTGTCACGTACGTTTGGCCATCTTTACCACACCATGAGGGTATGTACAGTCCTCCCGGTCACCCAGAGGTAGGCCACGTTTCTGAGACTACACAAACTTTTCTTGAGTGTAAATGTGTGATGATTAGCTCCTAACTAAGAGGTGGCGCCAAGGAAACAATGGGCAAAGAAGAGAATTAGTAAAACCAAAGCCGGGGAAAGAATTTGGGCAAGAGGGTGTGTCAGAAAACTGTTGCAAGCTTCATTTGGTCCATTTTTTTCCCTTGGGAACTCGACAACATAAAACTGGGTTGAAGTTCAACTAAGTAAGAAATCTTTTAAAGAGGCAGTGTTATGTATTTTCCATGCAAATAGTGCCATTTTATGGCATAATCAAGTAACTATAAAATGTTTTTTGTGCATTTCTGCCTGTCTTTCTTCCATTGTTTTTCTCAATTAGGGCTGCAACTAAACTATTTTAGCACTAGATTATTCCGATGATTAATTGGATAGAAAAATTATCATGTCCTACAGAATTTTCATTTAACCACTTCAGCCTTTCTGAATATAATACTGGAAATGAATTCCAAGGTGAAAATAAACAAATAATTCAATTATTTTTAAATAAGATTTTTTTTTTTGCCTAAAATGCAATAATGAAGCATTCTATTTGTGAATTTGAACCGGGTGAAAGTAAAACTGTTACTGGAAGTGTTTTGTGTGAAACATATTGTAATAAATTAAATTCAAAATGTATACATATTTTATATAGTTTTGGCTTAATTACCGCCTTATGCTGTTTTTCAGAAAATTATCATTTATTGAGTCTGTATATGAATTACTAATTTAGTTGATAATTACTTCAATTATTGATTCATCATGATTAATCGTTTCAGCCGTACTCTTAATAATCCTTCCGTCTCGCTCTCAAGCTTGTGGCGTCCTCTTCATCATGCAGCAGTCCAGCCTTTCGAAACACTTAGCCATATGTTAGCCACATCGCCGCTTTCAAGCCATGTGAATAAAATAGTGGCTGGAGAAATGACAATGGCACAGGATTTGGAGGTGTCAGATTTTGTAGAATCCTTTGAACTGTAGAGAAATTTCCTCGTGAGCTGGTAGGTTTTTTTTCATTAGCTCAGGGTAACACTCTCCTGTTGAACAGAACCCATCAAACTGGACCAGGCTGAGGTGTTTCTAATAGATTATCACTTGCTTTTTTCAAGACTCCCGAGTTATTGATGCGTATTATGTCCACCCAGGCAGTGGGCAAAAAAAAAAAAGATCATTTTGATCTAATCCAATTAGACAAATAGTGGAATGGCACAGTGACTGAAGGACATGGATATTAAGGCAGCAGAAGAAGAGGTCTGCACTGCGAATGTAAATGTGTGTGTGTGACATGGGTTCCCTTCCCTCTCAGATAATCCTGTCAGGCTGTGGGGATTTGAGGCTGCCTCATGGTTACCTCGGCGGGGGCTGAGAGCAGGGGGCAGCGCTAAGCTTCTTGCTGTTGTGCTAATTACATTCCAGATGAGAGGCGAAAAGGGACTCAAGTTAAACTGTGTTCTCCTAGTGAACTGAGGCTGTTTAGTTTTACACGAAAGGTTCATATAATGATGAGCGAGAACAAGGACAGATTCGTGCAAACAGCAGCTAGCATGGTTTATGACCAGATGGTGTGTTTATGGAAAGCTGTTAGGAACTCATTGCTGTAATTGTAGCTGCAGGGGGTATAATGTGGCTGTATATGAGATGAGGAACGCAATATAGGTTCCTGCAGTTCAACCAGACTGAAATACGGGGTTGTACATTAAATGGCAGTAATGAGTGGGCAGTAGAATAAGCAGTTGGAAGGAATGATCTGATTCAAATGTATTTAGATCTGCATGCAGACCACCAGTGACGGATTAATTGAATTAATCTACAAAATGCTCCTGTCTAAAACGGACATCAGAAGGCAGAAGTAGTGTTAGTTTTGCAGTCAGTTCCCCGAGTCTCTGACAGTTGATAAATTGTTTTTGTGATTGTGACGGGGTTCTTTTATGACTTGGGCCACCACAAAAAAATGACGGGCCAAGGCCAGGGATTACTTCAAGTCGCAGCTCATCACCTCCAATGTGACACTTCTCACGCCTAGGTGCAGACTGCCCTCTGTGAAACAGAGCCCTGCTTTTATAGCTACAGGCTCCGCCCAGAGGAAGTCCCATCAAACAAAAAAAAACTAAACAAAACAAAAACTATGCAATTATTTCTAACTCAAATCCTTGAAATATGCAAAATAATAATAAGGAAGAAAAAATAAATAAATTTATAATCAAAATACACCCAAACAAAAGAACAAAAACAACCAGCACACTGTGATGACTACACATCACGTAATTGGCTCCCGGTGCGCTCCAAGCCGGAAACAACTTCCCCCAAAAGAAAACCGGAAAAACATCTACCTGAAAATAACCGATTAGAATGGACGTCAAACGAAATCACCGCGTGTGCACCCACGATGAATCGCCTCAATCCAAACTAATAGGAAAAGAAACAGGTAAGTTAATAACTGTGCATGTTTGCTAACACGGACTCTCCGATCGTGAAGGCTCCTTCGTCACAGTGATTTTTTTATTTTATTTTATTTTTGTAATCCAAATGATCATTTTGTGTTTGTACTTTTGAAAACTTGCAAGCAATCTTATTATATTCTTTCATCATGAATCCCCTCCCAGAGTCTACAAATAGAAGAAAAAATATGAGAAATATATAGCAAACACGACGGTGTGTACATGAGAATGACACTGTGAGACCCTCCCCCTGGGTCTGATTGGTTGCTTTGTACCAGCAGCAGTGTATTTCTGCACTTGGCAGTAGGACCATAAGGAGGAGGAACAGGAGCTCAATTATCTGTCTCATACTGTACTGTCAGGACTTGGTGAAAGCTGTCACATATTGATTTAAAAATAGCTCAAAAGCCTGACTTATTTTAATTACGTGCTGCAGATTTAATTGTTGCCGACTGAATACTTTCTCTTTTCAAAATTTTCTCCAAAAATGGTTGTGTATGTACCAGTAAATCCAAGTAGGTCAGCAGTTTGTGAAGACTGACCGCTCTGGTTCTAACAAACACAACATGTTTAAAGTCACTAAAGTCCCATTCAGATATTTCTGTTGAA